CACAGGTTTGGGCAGCACGTATATAAAGTGGTTTTCGTTTTCTGGTAGGTTGGAGTTAATGTATTAATATGCTTGCAATATGTGGTGGTGGAAGAAGTCTTCTACTTAAAGAGATATTACCTCAATGCAACTCAACATTATTTATACGACACCTTTCACACAAACATGGAGGCCAAAGTTCTTCACATAGTGAAACTGAAACAACACATAGAAACCAAATAATTACCAGTAAATAAAATGTAGAACAAATAAAACAAAATATAAAACAAACCCATTAATATCAGTTTATGTGTATGCTATAGAGAGAGAGAGTATTTTCGGTGCTTTACTTTGTCACACCGTCCTTTCTGACAGGAAGCGCGAAGTGATGTCGTCTCATGGCTTTGGAGAGACCATAAATAGATCTAAAGCTTCAGTTTCGTGGTGAAAAGATTCTAAATATAGCTGATATTAATTTTTTTTTTTTCAGATGACTAACACATGTTGCTGCCGCTCACATCCACATATGGTTCATTGGTTAGCTTCCATGCCGGTACTCCTGTTTGCTTCCCCTGAACTGGGGTTTGCGCCGACCGCCATCTACTGCGGGTGATACACAAAGCGGTAGTAACAACAGTTCCTCAAACGGACTCTTGGGGGCTGGCTCCAGAAGTGATCAATCTCCACAAGACCCCATGTTAAAGTTCCCAACTTTACAGCAGGAACATCTACAGCCTGGTACATAAAAGACATTCGGTGTCTATAACTAAATACTCCGTTCTTGACATCTGTAAGTGGGGGGAATTCTTAAATAACTCTCCTGTTTAAATTATATTGAGGCTTAAATTGATGCAAAATTAAAGCCGTGGTCGCTTTGAGTGATAGGTGGATGCTTTGACAGGCAGCTGTTCTCAGTAACCAGGCTTCATTCAGCCAACCTTGTGTTTGCATTAGCCAGGAGCCGGCCGGAGTCAGGACTTCCGAGGTGGCAGCGGCCAGAGCCGACCACGCTGAGCTTCACAGCGGCTCTTCAGAAAGCTACGAGTGTCGTCAAAGACACTAAATTTTTAAATTCCTTCTCTTGGAAAATATTTCAAACAGAGGTATTATCAACAAAATGCTCTTAATGTATCACAAGTTAAAGTACTCATTGTCCCTTATGATGGTTATTAATGAGTAATTAGGATTTTACAGTTGTATTTGGTCAAAATGGAGCTAATTTAAACTCATTTATATACTTTACAAGAAGATGTTCTCCGTGTGCTGATGAAGGCTGAGTAATATGGTTGAAAGCTCCTTTTAAAGCTAGTGAGCAGACTTCGAGTCGTCACAATTTTGATGTCAAAACTGAAAACTGAAAAGCTGATGCTTTTCATTTGAGACGACATGGGAGAGATCTCCTAAAGAAAACACTGCTGATGCAATTCCTAAGCTCATCTGCTGATGAAGACAGTGTGATATGGTCGAAAGCTCCAGCAAAAGCGAGTAAGCAGAGTTTGAGTTGTTACAATTTCCGATAACGGAGCTGAACTTAGATGCTTTTTATGTAAGACGACACTGGTGAGAAGTCTTAAAACTGCTTCGGATGCAAAGCTGATGAAGACAGTGTGATGTGGTTGAAAGCCCTGGGAAAAAGAATCTAGTAAGTGGGCCTTGAGTTTTACCAAAAAACCAAGAATAAACTGATTTAAACATCAAATCAGTCAAAATAAAGCAGTTTCCCTCTGAAATTTAGTAAAAGTACCTCAAAAGAGTACTTTAAAGTACTACAATACTCGCTGCTGACGTGTATAAAAACAGGTGAAAAAGAATAAAGATTATAGTGCTTACCTGTTCTCTTCTTATTCTTCTGTGGTGTCCTGTACATTCACTGCAGGTTTAGTTTCACATTCACCATCCTCTCATCCTCAATATGTTTTATCAGTGGTGTCATGTCACACACACACACACACACACACACACACACAGAGAGCATTTTACAGCATCATATTACAAATAAAGCTCTCACAGCTCTCACCACATGATGCACACCTCCTCCCCCCCGCCCCCGGGGGGATCGTCCCCTTTTATTTACCGGGATTCCCAGACCCTTTTTTTTTTTTTTTGGTTTCCTTTCCCTTGCAGCACAGCGTCAACACTATCACTGACGGGCGTGAGGAGGGATTTTTTTTTTTTTCCCAGATATTTGTTTCCCGGAGGGAGAGAGCAGCGCTGATGTTATTCCATTAATCAGAGGGAAGGGAGTGTGTGTGTGTGTTACATTATACAAATGACTGATGTGTTCAATGTCAGTTAGATCAACTCTGCCTCCTGCTGCTCACACTCCCACAATGCAACAGTTATTGTTTCATGCTGCTGATTTTGTTTCCCAGTGGTCTGACTCGCTCACTGCTGTGTTAATGGCAGAGGTGGAAGTACATTTACTCCTTTTACTTTGAGGTACTTGTATGCTTCTTTATACTTGTGTTTGTTTTGTTTTTTATGCACACACACACACACACACACACACACACACACACATATATATATATATATATATATAATAACCTGAAGAACTGGAAACCCTCAGTACTCCGTGGCTCTACGCTGAAAAAGAGGCGGACCACGGCACTTTAAAAATACACCCAGATGCAGTAAAAGTGACATATTAAAGAGGTTTTAAGATGTTTTGTATATAGTTGTCTCTATTTATCTGTCGCTGCTTTATTCTGACAATGTGTGGGATTTCTGATGTGTGGTTTCCTCTGTTGAGTCTGGTGTGACTACTTGCCAGCAGGTATAAGAAACAGCCCAAAGGTTTTGTATTTGGCCTGATGAAGGCCTGAAGAGATATTTAAGGCTACCTTCTTGAGTGCCTCAGATTTCTTCAACAAGTCAATCTATCAATGTAAATATTGTACTTTTAAACCCCACTACATTAATTTACCTGCGTACATATAAGCACTCAATAAATATGACGCACTGTTACAGATTAAAGGTCCGGTGAGGTCATCGTGTATTTATTTATAACCAACAGGAAAGTCCCTGAAGTCCCGATATATCTTTGTTATCTTGTGGACTTTGAACGCTCCATAATTATTAGACATAATAAGTACTTTAAGTTTATCTCCTTGTTCCTACAGTGTGGATGTTTGAATGATGTTTGACACTAAAAGGATGTTTTTATATTCGTCTGCGCTCATTGAACATTTGAGATCGTTTTTCAGGGGCGGGGCCTTACGAGCATGATTTGTGACATCATAGAAAAACTACAGAAATCAACATAATTTGCATATTCAAAGATTCTGTGAGGTCGAAAGAGTAGATGATAATTTAATGATTTTAATGTGGAAAAAACATGTCAGACACACATTCTTGTTCCAGGCTGACTATTTGCACCGTGTCTGTGTCTCAATATGTCGTGTCACATGTCTGGACGGGATCTTTAAAGCACATTTTGTTCGTAATACCTTCTGTTTAAAAGTAGAATTTCAAATGCAGGAATTGTAACGTTACTTTTACTCCAGGAGAAATAACAACACTACTTTATACTTCTACTCCACTACATATTGGAAGGCAAATACTTATAAATATTTACTTATTATTGATATAAAATACAATCAGCATATAAAATATGATGTACGTTAATTGATCCCTGGGACAAAAAGTTATCCCTATATTTATCAGCTGCAACACAGAAGTACACATTAATGCATTAATCTCATATTATAGTAGACATTATTATAAAATGATTATAATAAGTATTTCTTTCCTAAGTATAGTGATGCTAGAACAGAGTATTTCTAAAGATTTAAGTACTTCTTTCACCGAACAGACCAAAACATTTATTTAACTGTATGAAAGAATCATTGTTGCATCCACTATTATATACTTTTATATGTATATATAGTTTTAATCAACCAAGTAACGAGTGCTGTCAGTGTAGCTGTAGCTGGGTTCCGACGGGGCCGCTGGAGGACGTCGGACAATAAAACTCGGGGGAACCTCTGCTGTAAAACATAAAAGAAGAACGTAGGAAGTGACAGTTTGCTGACTCTCTCACACACTTGCTGTAAAATAAAAACAGCCTGGGTGGCGCCAGGGTGAGCTTTAAGTGGTCTAACATGTAATTACAACGTCCTCGGTTCGATTCCGGTTTCCCTTGTTCCCTCTTTCTCCACACTTCATGCCTCTGCTGTCAACGATACAATAACACGCCAAAATGCAGCAGACATAATGATGCCTCTGGTCTAACTGCATAAGACATTACAACGCACTTTTTATCTACACTTGGTACAGGATAGTATGGACATATAACTTCCTGTTGGTTAGTTATCTTTTGACCCTTTAAAACGTTCACTACTGTTCAAAAAGTGTGGAATCACCTTTAAATGGAAGTTTTAATAATTTAATTATTATTCTTATTGGGGCCAAAACAATTTTAAAATGTAAATAAAACATTTGGCATCTGAATAATACTGTTTTTATTGATCTATAATAGCCGTTATTAAAGAAAGAAGCATTTAATTCTGCAGAATGGAACTAGATATCAATCAGTGTTAGATGATTGGATGAGTGCTTGTTGTAATTAGTTGTCATTAAGCTGCTTGTTTGATGCATTCTTTCCTTGATTTTGTTTCTAAGTGGGTTTTTAAAGCATTTATTGATACTGATGATTGTATTGGTGCTTTGTTTTTTAATGTGTGGAACCCGGGAAGATCAGCAAAGCTTAATAAATTAGTCTTTATCTGACGTATGTCCTCTTTCCTGTCATTCTTTACAATTTGGCCAATGTAATTTGACCTCTACTTCTTTGGTTGTAAGCTAATGTAGAAGAGAAAATATGATCACATAACAGGGAAAAATCCTCCTGTGACAACAAATATGAATATAAAGTCACTGCTAGTATCTTTGTTTCACCATTAATTATGATTTAATAGCTTAATATTTGTGTCTTTGTCTTATTTATAGGAAAAAACTGAATCAAACAGGAATTTCTCAGGTTTCGGTGAGAATATAATAAATCAGAACAAACACACATGTAATTGGCCAGGAATAGGTTTTATATAAAATTTGAACAGTGGATACAGAGGCGATATTATGTGTATAAAAAAATACGTACAATAAAAGGAAAATAAATGAATCTTATATTTTCTATTTGGAGCAGATGTTCAAGTTAGCTGATGAAATGTAAAAGGCACTAAATGTACAACATTCCAGTTTTAAAGACGTTAAACAGAGGCCAAAGGTCATTCCGAGATGAAACGAAAATAAAAAAAAATAAAAAATAAAATCACAGGGAATTTGTTGTCTTTGATATGCAAGACATAGTGCAGATTTTACAACATAACATACCAAACAAATCTCAAATAACACACAACTATTTACCATCGAGAAACACTAAGCACGCACTTTAAGACTCGTCAGGAGTGGAGTGAACTCTGCAACCTGCATTCACTCACAACTTTTTAAAGACACCAACACACCAAACGTTTTAGCGTAGAAGCTTGGTCAAGCTGGAAATCTTTCATAATTTATAGTTTACATCACAATTTCTACAACAGCACTAAACACTGCAACAAGTCACAATTAGGAGCAAAGCGACCAGCAGTAAAAGGTTCGTCAGTATCATACAGGTGGTTTTCTTTTTTCTTTTTTGACTTGGTGAATACATTGAAATTCATGCTAACTACTAAAACAAAACAAACCAACAGAAACCAACAGAAAAGACTTTTACATTGAAGATAAGAAAACAAATCTGGAAGACTACAGTGCCTGCATTGAGTGGTGTCACAGCCACAGTCAAAATGGATTGAATTAATATTTTTCAGAAGGTAGTTATAAATGAAAACACGCTCTGAGTAAATAAGTACTCAAGCTCCCGCGTAGGGACAGTTTGAAATAAGTTAAAGTGTAAAAAAAAAACAACTGAAATAACTCTGAAGGACTTCTAGGTTAAGTCAGGAGAGGAGATGGTTGAATAATAACATTACAGTAAACATAATAGTGGCCAGAGTTACGCAGTCATGTCAGTTATTTATAATTAAACACATTCATGGTCTCCAAAGGATGAGAGGGTGAATCCGGATCACTTCTATCTACATTTCCTCTAAAACAGCTGAATTCCTGCCAGCTTATTATTATTATTATTATTATTATTATTATTATTATTATTGCGAACATACTAAATGCTCGCAAAATTGTTAAGCCAAGACACCCAATGTTGGCATGTTAAAGAGCAACTTGTTACTGACCTCCGGTGGTTTAACTTATCACCTCGCTGCCGTGATGCAGACGTGTACTCCGGGGTGTGTCAGTACACTGTGACATCGCTGTTGGAGACGGTTACAAGCAGCAGAGCTCACATTTAACAAACACACGTGTTTTGTTGTGGCTGAAGGCTAAAGAAAATCCAAGAGGAGTGAAAGTTTTCTCCCTTATTGTGACGCACGTTTTATTGTTTATCGGTTTCATTGGTGGGACAATAACGTTTCAGTCTATTCTACCCACTGATGGTGTTTTCTGGTGCGTAATGAGCTTACAGCCATTACAGTTACAGACTTTTAGTCTTGTAAGGTACATATTGAGAGCACAGCATTGAAACTGGCTAAATAAAGGCAATATATATCTACATTATCAGCGACATTCACAATGATACAATCGACCCTGCTTAGAACCATCTTGGATGTCTTTAAAGCGGCTAGAATCTGTATTTATATTCTTATAAAATGAGAAGATATATGACAAATATGTCAAAGTATTGGTGACCCTGCAGCTCCCCTCTGCTTTACAGAGCTTTATAGTGTTTGTTTAACCGTCTGGACCACTTTACTGTTCTCACAGTGTCGTTTTCAGCTAAAAAGACACAGTTAGAGACCGTCTGGTGAACTAATTTGAGCATTAAGCAGCTAAAGAGCCGGATAATGTTGCTTTGTAACTGCAACCGTTAACAAGAGACCAAAGAAATAAGTTACTGAAAGTTTAACGATATCATCAAGTGATTTCTTTTACTTTCAAGCAATAGATATAACATGTGGCACCGAAGCAGACATAGCCTTAAAACTCAAAAAACGTCACATTAATTGTGTTTTTTCTGTGCACACTTTTGACCAAAGAAAACTTAACTGAAGCCATTTTGAACTGACAGGCTCAACACTTCCTGCAGGCACTGTATACATTTGAGTGTACGGTGACAAATAATTAAGACTAAAAGAAGAGAGAGAAAAAAGCCACCAACTTTCTAGACCTCTACAGCAAACTACTCTCCTTCTCTGGAAAGACATCCACAGCCATACCACACTGGAATGAGTTACAGTAAACAGCACTATATCTTACATGAGCAAGAAATATATACAAATACTGGTCAACATGGAAACTTACTGCATTCGGAATCACGAGCGGAAGCTGAAGGCATTTTAGACTGAACACAAATATCATTCTCATAGGTCACCGAAGAAAATTAGAACATAGAATTTGGCTTTTAAATGTTTTCAAGACAAAAGAAAATTAACAAAAATTTGGAATGCATTTTAAAGCTTAAAAGCATCTGAAAAGAACTTACCTAATATATTTGGCCCATTAGTTTTGGGAAAAAAAGAGCTTTACACAATACATAGATGGAAAAAAAAGGATGGATATTTTCATAATAATGAGTGTTATGTTAGTAAATTGCATGCAAACAGTGTATTTCGCATTTGAGAGCTCCCCGTTTTCATAGGAGATATTTCACCTCAGTTGAACATTTGGTTTTAACATGCACGTTTGAAAATTACTCATAACTAAGCTGAAAACTGCCCAGGTAATCACCACTAGCAGCAAACTATTTTTTTTTAAATTCACATCACACCTCGAAACAGGCAGAAAAACGTCTTAAAGTGTGATGCAGAACACAAAACTCTACCTGGGTTGCATTGCCTGTGTTCATATTCACTTTTTAAAAATAAAATGAAAACAAACATCGACACTTAGAGCACCCAGAATTTGTTTAAAAAAAAAACCTGGTAGAGCTTGTTAAAGATGTTCCTCTGAGGTGAAAAAAACAAACGGGAGGCAGTTTATTTAAAAAAAAAAAAAAAAAAAGGTACCACAAAACATGCCAGAACTCCACGGAGCATTCACAGTAATACAACGTCAGACAGCTTCTTCTCTTACAACTATCTGAGTACCACCAAATTTAAGAGTGTAGGTGTCATCATAACTGCATGCAAAGATACCGAAAGGCAATGTAAAGTCTACGTTATACGCCCTTACAAAACAAGATCACAATGGGAGTGGCCAGCGGAGGGAGCGTCAGCAGCAGCCTGTTGCACCAGCTGTGTGTAAACTCAAAACGAAGCTCACTTGGAATGTCATTTTTAGGATTTATGGAAACAGAAACATTAGTTAAAACGTAGCCTTAAGAGTTAAGACATAACTTAAAAGTGTAAAGCTGGACAGACACCGTACAGTACACTATTTGACGCATTATTCTTTCTTCAATACCTGGCGCCTACATTACCCACAACGCAACTCGGCCACCCACTGTTTCGGTGCATTCCATATGAACTCTCGGACATTGCGACTGGAATGTATGAGCAAAGTACAGCTTCTACAACTTCTAGGATTGCAGTCCAACTCCGGTGTAATGGCATTCCCAGCTCAGACTTCGGACTTTCGAGGTAGATGGAACGCTCCTTTAGGTCTGAGGTTCAGGTGTGTTACGCTCACAGCGTCTAATGGAGCCTCGAGCCACAAGCAGAGAAGTCTGGTAACCTCACTTTCCCCTTTAACCCCAAACTGGTCTCCTCTGGCTACTTTTAAAAATCAGACAGGCAGTCAGTCATCTGATGTTAATTTTGAGGAGTCACAACCTCTGATTGACTGCTTCAACAGTCTGACTGTCAGACGATTGGTTGGCTGTCTCAGATCAGTAATTTACACGTCGTGGATGACTGTAGTATTAACTGAGACTGAGCTGCGATAGAGATAAACTTCTGAATTGCACAAATTAATATTCGTTTGCGTTGGAACTGATTCGGTTTTCTGTGTTTACGTTGAGTGTAACAGAAAGGCCAATTAATAAAATCATACAGTGTCTGTCCAGCTCAACTTTTCTTTGATATTAAATTAACTGATTACGGTAGCACCTTGTGACAGACAGCATCCCTTTACACTGAAGTTGATACTGAACATGCACACTCTGCATTGTGCAGGACAGTCACTGGGATTAGGCGAGGTGTGAGTTTATGTTGCATTCACAGGAGGCATTGACACAACTATAGTTTGGTGATAAATAACGGAGGTGATCAGACAAACGTGTTCAAACATATATTAGCTAGTTCACATGATAGGATACTATTTGTTTTTAAATCTCTCCCTTTATGTTGCTAGTTAGTCATGTTAGTTTCTGCGTTGATGCTTTGATTAGTCGACTTTGTTGAGATATTAGTAGCTTAAGTGGTGAGTTAAGTAGGAAACGAAGGTTAAAATGTAGCAGTTGGTGTTGAATTAAGTTCAGCTGATGCAACAACCTGCAGGACCTTTTGTAGGCACAAAGCTTTTCGTGATTAAAATAAAATATTCTTACATGTGGAATGATATCTATGAAGGCATTCAGATTTTTTTTTTTTCCGAGAACAATCCTGATGACTGCTGGAGTAATGTTGTGTCCACTAGAGTGTTCCTCTTTTTTTGTCTTTACAATAAAGCACATGGAGACATCACTTTATCATATAACGTCATGCTTTCAGAGGACAAGAGATGGATAGAAAGAAAACTGCACCAATTTCTGTCCCTGTTGAAATATTCCCACCCTTCCCAAGAGCAGCTGATAGAGAGGTCTGATACATTACTGTGTTTTATTTCTTTTTTTTGGTCCCCAGTTACTCTTCAGTTTTTACGAATGTCAGCGTAGACCACTGGCTCCATCTTATGGAATGAGTTTTTGCTGCCTGAGTGATCCAACTGGGCGTATATCACCGGGCCCTGGAACATAATAAAGAAAAAGGAAGAAAAGTCAGTAAACAGGAAACAAAGCACCACTACATCAATTTTAAACATCACAAGCCCATAATAAGTATTTTGGTCCAGTAGAACTTCTGAGTGGCAGATTTGTTATATTTTTATGTCCTGAAAGAGTTTAGTGATTAACCAACAAGTTGGAAAACATGCACACAGGTGATTATTTAAAAAGTGGAGCTGAAACCATTTGGTCAATTAATTGATTAGTTGATGTATTTTGATAATTAAGTAAGTAGTAAGTACTCAAAGTGAAAAAAGAAACTCTCTCTCCCTTCTCCAAAAAAAATTTATTTTCATGCAGTTTCATAGGTTTTTATACAACGTAATCCAACAGCCTGATTCATTACACAGGACTCAAAGTTTAATACACTGACGATAGTTTTTAACAAACTGAAAATAAACCGTGAGAGTAAAAAGGTTCCCTCCTTGGATAAGATTATAAATATTTTAAATTATTATAATACAACTTAATTGTCCACGAAGGTGGTTTAATTTATCGTCCTTCTCCAGAGACGTTTTTCCACGCTGGATGTTGGACAGATTAAACAAATGAGATACATTAATTAGTGATCTTAGAAAGATTTTATTACCATTTGACAGAGCCAGGCTAGCCGTTTCCCTCTGTTTACAGTCTTTGTGCTAAGCTAAGCTAACCTGCTGTAACTTGACAATTAGCATATAGACATTAAAGCCAAAGTCAAACTGTTGTTTTCAGTCATGAACAATAATTTTTCAGGTGGTTTTGACTTGTTTTTTTCTTTAATTCTACTTGTTTATACTGTTGCAGTTTGTTTGTTTGGGTTTGTTTTTTGACAAATGTGACATAAATGAATATTACTGAACTCATATTGAGGTTTTTAAGACAGATCAGAAGCAAATACTGTATATTTCCATGAATCAGTGTGCAGGAATAAGGATGCAGAGTATTTCTTTTGGACAAACAACATAAATGCGACAGTTTCCCAGTAAATGGTGGCAGCCAGTGGATTTTTCTGTCCCCCAGCTCCTACCTGTAGTGGACCCGAGGGACTGGTAGACCTGGAGCCGTCCAGGCTGGACTCCACCTTCTTTCGTGGCTTCGGAGCCTGAGAGCTCACGCTTTCCAAGGACGTACATCTATTTTTAGGGTTACGATTTGCCATGGTGTTGAGCAACCATTGGTGCACAGTCAAATGGAGACAAACAAACAAATAATGGAGCACAAGACAAAAATAAAACAATGAGAGATGAGCATGAAACACTGGAACAAAGTGCATGGCAGATCCCAGTGTTTTGGCAGAGATACTGAAAGCAGAGGAGACTAGAGGTGCACCGATGATATTTAAAGTTCAAAAGGAGTACAAATCATAAAAAAAAAGCTCTCCTTGTTTGACTACTAGATGCATTTGTTCACATAAAACTAGATAATTTATATTTATTTATTAGTTTTCTACCTCATCAAGGGTTTTATGTGTAACTACAAACTCTGTGCTCCGTGCAACACAAATAAAACTATTCTACTGTCTTCACTAGAGCTGCAATAATAACTCAAATCACTTAGTTCATTGAGAGAAAATTAATGGGCAACTATTTTGATAATCAATAAATCATTAAAGTTTGTTTTAAGATGCCAAATATTCCCTGCTCTTGCATTGCGGTGACTGTTTTTCTGTTCTACATCCTTGTAAACTACGGCTGCCCTCTAATAGTGGAATGAATCGTTAGTTGATGTCTCAGTCGATGTGCTTTTCTATTAGTCGGATACTCACAGAAAAACAAAAACAAAGTACTAGTAGGGACTAAAGTATCAGGGGATTGTTGCAACATGGACCTTTTCTCTTGTAACACAGGGAGTCAAGCCAGTATTTAAGTGAAGTTGGAAGTTGTTTATTCTGTGCTTTTACCAACGAGGCTTGTGTGATGTTACGCTGTGTTGAAACAAGTGAACTAAATGTTCAGTCTCCTTGTTGGTTGTTCTGACACATTCAGAATCATTACCACTTTTTCTGTTAGCATTTAACAGGCAGCTGTTAAAATATATATATTTAAATAATTAAACTCATATCATATCTTCTTTAGTCGAGTGCAGCCCTGTTGTAAACTAAATTTGTTCGGGTTTTGGACTGTTGGTTAAACAACAAAAAACAAGTTAAGACTTCACCTTGAGTTTTGGGAAATTATAATGTTAATGTCTTTCTATTTTAAGTTTCACAGAACAAACAAATAATTTATTAATATAGAATAATCGCTAATGAAAATAGTTGTTAGATGCAGATGGAGCAATACTTGCATCAGTCCATCCATTCAACTATTCACTCCACGATTATAAAACATAAAAATCTAACAAATCATCAGTGCACCTCCAGTAAAGACACTTTATATTGTTCTAACATTTCAAGGTGACCGAACTGTGTCAACGTGACGCCTCGAAACATTTCTGTTGACCAAACAAAAAACAAAACTGGTGATGAAGAACACAGATGAGGTTAGTCGAGTGTTAGTGGCAAAGGATGCTTAACAATGACAAGACAACATGCTGACAACAAGATAATCAATGATGTTAATAGAAAGTGAAATTAGTTGTGTTAACACGCAGTAATGGAGGAAAGTGACTGGCACCAGTGCAAAACAGCAACCCCAAAGACAACTAGCAACTTCAGCTCACAGGCTCAAACCATCCAACAGCCAAACAGGAGCGACTTCAGAATAAATCTTAGCGCTTTCAATTTCTCACATTCATCGGGTCAATATGTGGTTATCTCATTGAGATGAAGAGACTGTAGAGAGTGTGGCTGGAGCATGCGAGGTAGACATGGTCAAACTACCTCAAACATACGAAGGAAAAGTCTAGTTTGTGACTACGTCTTTAACAAACATATGAATAATTAGTAAGAAGATCAGATCACAGCCCAAAAACAAACAGCTTTTACCCCCCACAAGTCAACACACAGAGAGAGTGAAACCCTCCTTCCCATGCAGAAAGAGTTAGCGAGGTGTTACGGTCTGATGATTAAATCTCTGGAGTAAAAAAAAACAACTGGAATTAAAACATTTAGGAAACCAGCAAAAACCCACCGGAGAAACTCACCTTTCATTTAAACATCAAACATCTTCTCAATACAAGATTCATTTATATATATATATATATATATTCTGGTAACACTCGACTTCAATCCCCCTGGTTTAGCATTTATAAGCAGTATATAAACATTTAATAACACACTATAATGTAGCTGTACGCAGATATAAAGGGCATTTTCAGTATTTATTAATTAAAACTTCTCCTATGCATATTATACCACTTATATTAACACTGTGTTTTACTATATAGTCATTCATTATCTCTTTATACATGTATTGTTGCCCATAGGACGTTACAGCTGTTGACAACTACATTATGAGTTGTTATAACTACATGGTGGAGTTTAAAGTAAAGTCTATTTGTTATTTTGGAAACGGGGTCTTATTGTGTCGTATTACCATACACCGTGTTATGGTCAGCAATCGGTAAACCGGTAATACTCGTGGAAAACACTCACCCTTCATAATCATGGCGGCTGTGAAGCATCCTCATGACAACGCAGGCAGCTATGGCGATGAGGACGAGCAGAACCAAAGCACCACAGACTGTTCCGACTATAATGGTGGTGTTGCTCGCAGGGAGAGATTCTGCACACGACACAAACACACACAAACACACACAGTTAGGATTAAAATATAAAAGACGAAAACTGTGTTTAAAACTCTCTGGACTCCAGAACGGTCCTTACCCCACATTTGTGTTTAAGTCTCAATCGTGATTTTGCCAATTTAACAAACTATAAAAGCTGTCAGAAACCCAAAATGCAAGAATGACTACCAAAGACTATAAAATTTTACAAATCTTTAGAAATAATTAATCAAAATACCATAATAGAACAATTCAGGATTGTAAAAAACACAAATGCAACAGAAAAATGTAAGAAATATAACTATAATACAGTCTAAATACTGTAAAGTGTTTTATACCACTCAGTTTGTCTGGCATTGTAAATATATATATATATATGTATATATATATATATATATATATATATGTATATATATATATATATATATATATATATATATATATATATATATATATATATATATATATATATATATATAGTAAATATTAATTATTAGCTACATGTTATTAGTTAAATGAGATACTGTGTGAAAGCCCCACATCAGCACTTTCAATTGAGTTTCTCAGTTTCTCTCTACACGATGTGTAAATAATGTTCCTATAGATGAAACTTGACTCAGTTTAGTTTTAAGTTCAGGTTCAATGCACAGCTGGGAGTGTCACTGATACTGTACCTTGTACCATCCAGCAGTAACAACAGCTTTGTGTGTTCAAGAAAACTCTCTTTGTAAGAGCTAAAATAAACACAAATGGCTTTTATTTTGGCACTGCATCCCTTCCAAAATGTAAATGCTAGATGTAGAACAAATTCCCACCTGGAGGGTGGGGCAACCACTGCCTGAGCCAAAAGATAACAAGCCGCCACATGCACATGTGGGCTTCATGTAACTGAAAAACAAAATAACACGAATGCACCTGCTGGAACGGCTTTTATATGTCGGCTTTACCAGATCTGCCAATGCGCTGCCGAGCATGGGAGTGGAGATGTTTAACGTGAAGCTGCAACACTCCAGACAACTTAATGGGAGAGCTACACCAGCAACAGTTCATTCCAGTTTAAAAGGATGGTTTAGTCATTAGTGGGGTTCGTATGAGGTACTTATCCATAGTTGGTGTAGATGCCGGTCGGCACGCCCCCCAGTTTGATGAAGCAGACGGGAACTTTCATTTTACCCCGCAAAGTTCAGACTTTGATGTTTTCTAAAGGGTAAGTTCACCGAAGTGACACGATAACGCAAACAAACTAACCGACTGAGGCAGCAGTAGACCAGCAACTCCTGCGTTCAGCGAGGTAAAATCACTGTTTTTGTCGATGGAGTCTGGTGGCTTTGAAGAGAGAGTAGGTGGATATATAACGGCTTCAGTTCCCCGTCATAAAGGGCAGTCTGACAGTAAGGTAAAGGGGTGAAAATATTCGAAAGATTTTTTTAAAGGTGGATCCTTTTGTTAGGTGGCTAAAATATGTTTTGTAGCTGCATTTAATTAGCGCAGACAGCTTGTCAATCTCTGTGGGTTTTCTTCGAGTAGATCGTCAGCGTGCTCCCCTAGAGCTGTAACTCAAAACCATCCCTTCCTGATGCTCTTGTTTCACATTACAAGCTTTCTACAGGAAGTCAGACAGATGCTTTTATTGTAAAGCATCAACGATGTTAGTGCTGCTCCAGCTTTGCTTTTGGCATCTATACTTCGACTGCACAACAGTTTCCCTCTGGTAGAGTATCCATCTTTAGCTTATCTTGTACATAACAAGCGCAGCACTTTTTTTATGCAGTGGAGAAAGTTTTAAATACTGCAGACGGCAAAACGCTGATTCCATGAAGATCTTGCACACAGGCAACCGGTTCCACTGCCGTCACACCTCAAACACAGCGAGGTAACCAAAGTAAGCAATCATTTTACTATCTTGTTCGAAGGAAAGTCACTCATGCGCTGTGTGCATTCCTCCCAGCATGCCACGGTGAAGTGTTCCCAACCCAGAATAAAATAACTATAATTGACCTGTAGCCTGAGATCCTGTGTTTACTTTCTAGCCTGCAGTTTTTCACATTCAACATTTGGTTATGTGAGGAGATGAACTAGGTTTAGAGATGACTAAAGTGAGATTTAAAGAAGGTTTAAAGGTAATCCTGTTTGGTTTAAAACTAGGTTTAATGCTTGTTGCAGCAGCATTTTATGATAATCTATGATTAAATCCAGGTTTTAACTAGGCTGTGTCCAAATTGGCACCTCTCCAGTCAATTACATTCGATCATAGCCAACCAAATTATAAACCTTGGGAGCCACACTGACAGAGAAAAGTCATCTCTTTGCCTGGAGACATGACGGCTTCAGCACAATGAGGCAGACAGCGCATACTGTCCAATCAGCATGAGTATCTACAGCGTGTGCAGAGAGTCAGTGAGTGGGTGAATACAACTCACAAGTGTTTGGCCAAGGCTGCGGGTACAGTTAAATAAGCATCTTGTGCAATCACAATCTTCCTAGAGCTTAAACAGATTTTTATCTTTTCATCAGAAATCCTTCATAATAAAAAAAAGACACCTGCGGACTCACCTTTCAGAACGACCCTGAGTTCTATTCGAGCCGGTGTTCCCTGTACGTCCGGTGGGTTCTTCACGTCACAGAAGAAGGTGCCGTTGTCGCTGAACTGAACCGGACTCAGCTGTATTGAGGCATCCCTTTTGTTTATGTCTCCAATAAACTGCACTCTTTCTTTGAACTCGGGTATTCCCGGGAATCCTTTCCCATGGGAAAAGTAGAAAATCTACAAAGAGAAAGGAAAATCGGGTTAGACTGCGTGTATATATCTCTTAAACTTTCTTTGATGGCTTTGAGAATTGATTTTTGTATTACAATGATAAATTACTTTAATGTATTATGTCATATTAATCTATTATATATTTTATTATTGCGACAACGACTAGTCGATTACTCAACTATTTTGATACAAACAAAAAAAACTAAAAAATGTGAGGATTTGATGCTTTTATGATACCTAATATAAAAGAGCCAATCAAGTTTTTTTTGGCCCTGATCCCAATCCCAGACCTTTCATTTCAATTTTCAAATCTAATCCGATGCTTATATTTACTTAAAAGTTCATTAAGCATCTGACACATTAGAATAACAGCTGTAACCTTCTAAATTTGTGTTTGGAGGAGTTTCACTGAGAGCATTGCTCTCTTTTTCAGGAATAGTCTGATCTGCTGCCACTGAGCAGCTCCACAGGAGCGGCTGGGGTTAACGTCTTTGCTCAAGGGCACCTCAGTGCTGGGAATGAGGCAAGTGCTGCCTTTGTCTTTCCCAAATTTATCTTGCCGGTCCAGGGGATTGAACTCCGACCTTCCGGTCCACAAGCTTGTTTAATTTTAGACTCAAATGATTTGCACAACCCAATAAAAATATAAATTTCATTCTTCCACAAATTCAGAGGCAGAACAATCAGGCCAGGAAGCGGCTAAAGGAAATTCAGCCAGCCTTCATTTTACTATTCAAATCTGAGTGCGTTTCCTGCTCTGACATGCCAAAGGTCTAAAGCATTGGTGACAATATACAGCTTTTATGAGCAACACTGCAATGATCAAATCAAAACACATGGAGCACATCTACGAGCCAACTTCATCTCAAACATTTGTAGAATTGTTTCCTCATTCCTAAAACTAAAAACACTCTGACATTTAACCGCAACTGCTGTCGCTACAGGACAACGACGAAGCACATAATCAAGTCAAACAGACAACAGACAAATAGAATAACATGTCCTTTATCTCCTCTCAATCTGACTTTCTGTATCTTTCTCTGAATGACGCACACACCTAGCAGAGTCACTGCGACGCTCACAAGTCGGTTAACGTGGCAGACCTTCTGTTTGGTTGGAAAATGAAAGATTATGATTTCTTCTTTCAAACACCTGCCTTTGCTGAGGGTGCCATGGTTAAAAATAAAACACCACGCTGGCTCTGGTTTAACAAATGGAGACAGAAGCCGGAGTTTTTGTGAAGCCATGGCCTTGTTTTTATTAGCTGTATCAGCTGAGTAAACACCGCTCTAAAAAGGACAATTACTATTATAATGAATTGTTTCCTGTAGTCTGAGGTTAACTTTGTTCAGCAGTTTCATATTACTTTCACATTACAGTAACAGGAAGAGTGAATCCTGTTTATGTTCCTGATATCGTACTAAACTCTCAAAACACCCACATTATCAAAACCTGACAGTATTTGTTCAGCTCGACTACTACATTACGCCAGTTAAAAGTCTGAAACATCTTTATCGTGTAAAAACGACAGCCCAGGAGCAACCTCCAAGTGGCCCAACACACAGAAATGTGATATATGACTAAATAAGTAAACTTATAGCGTATGGAAGAAGCTAAGGAGTGATCCATCCCGCTTCCTTCTCATCTCTGTCGACAGCTGCACATGTGCAGTACGGATCGCGGAAAGACGTTTATGGATGGGATAGGGACACCGGCAATCATATCTTTCACAAATAAACATTTTCTCATGAGGTCGGACCATGCTTATTAACTTTTCAAAACATCTGGCTGTTGCAGGTCACAAGTAGGGAAGTGCTCTACTGAAGATCTGTTTGTGTCAGCCCCCGAAACGCCCTGCCTCCGCTGGCAAACACTTGTTTATTACCATCTCCAAACGCCGCACTAATGAGTCTAATTTGTGTTGCATTAGCACAAACAGAAGAGTTAGGACAAACTTTATTGCCAAACAAGTGGCTTGACAGGGGTTAGGGTTACAACACCTTCTATACCCTCTGTATCTTATCAATTGATAATTTTCTTGATTCATCAATTAGTTGTTTGGTCCCGAAAATGGTGGAAAATGTTGACCACTGTTACCCAAAGCCCAAGGTGACGTCCTCTAATGTTTAGTTTTGTCCACAACCAGCAGTCACAAAGCTGCTGCACTGTGTGTGTGTGTGTGTGTGTATTTATTATTATTAATCACACTGTCGTCTGATCACAAACGTGTAGACAGTGACACACAAAGCTGACATTTTAAGATTCATAAACTCTTTGTTTTGAAGAGGAGGTGCTGAAACGGAGAGAAAAAAGATGTGCTTACAAATTTAACAGGCTTAGTTTAGTGTGGACGTACTTTAGATGTTGGCTTGCGTGCATCTGTTCTGGCACGACTACTCATCAATCTAAAAACCCCACGGCTATGTCATTATGTTTGCAGGAGATCACAGCAGACAGGTAAGGCCCCCGCCCAGCCTGACTGATCTGTAAACATAAAGGACGAGACATGATCCGCAGCCCTCCATGCCCCACAAACTTTCTCGATACATAATACAACGCACTCTCTAGGATTAACCGTTTATGGTTTAGCTATGACTATAACACAAAAAAAAAAAAAAATGTATATGTCACTTTAAGCTCATTTAAACAAGTGCCTACTGTTATTGCTTTATTAAATATTGTGCAGACAGCAACTCCCTTAAGCGTGTCAGATTAGTATACACTAATAGAATCACAGGCATATGTGCAATTAATTACGCACACTGTGGCCGACTGAGACAGTTTTAGCACTTCACAATAAATCTTGATTGTTTGAAAAGGACATTTGTGCTAATCACCAGCTTCATGAATCATTTTAGCAGAAATGTACTCGCTGTATAAACACTGTAGCCCTCATCTGAACCCCAGTGTTAAATGTTTGTTTTGTCAGAGAGCTACAAGAATGAGAAAAGCAGGAATACTAAAACACACAATGGAGATAAAATTATGATAGGGAATGAAGATAAATAAATGAAAACAAACAAGAAGTTCACGTGAAAACAAACCGGACAAACACACAAAGCTCTAGTGACACAAGGTGAAAGTGGGAGTGAGCATGAGAAGAACACACAAATTAAATAAACAATTTAAAAGTGTCTTGTATCTAATATACAGTATAAATAAATGCCTGGCGCTGAGACTGAAATCAAACTGTAACCTAGTGTGTTTTTGAAACCATGCCATCACAATGAGCAGCTGAAGCCTTTCTTCAAGTGTCAGGGAAGATAAAACAATCGCAGGAAAACATCCTGGAGCTGTGGGAAATCTTCCCAGAGCGGATATACGACGGCCGGCGAGGACTTACCGTATATGGCGCTTTGGAGAACTGATTGTCGGGCTGATTCGACTGAAAACTCCAGGTCATTGAGGCGGAGCTGCTGACCACTTCGTTCGACTTAAAGGTGCATCGAAGGATTCCTGCGGTGCCGTTCTGTATGATCACTTCAGGGTCGGCGTATATGTCGATTGCTGATGCAGGTTTTGTGACTGTTAAAAAAATGGAGGGGATAAAAAATAAAAATAAGTTTAAATTGTGAGGTCTGGGAACACCCCCTGGAAAAAAGAGGAATAACTTAATTTGGCCATTATTTCATTGTGTGTTCACTTATCAAATACAGGTCTGCAAATGAAGAGAACAACACTTTATAAAACATACTGCTGACATAGTGAAAAGTCAACCGAGCAGACACATGCTGGGGCAGAGAAACAGAAAGAGGCGGGGCAGAGCAAGCCGGCGTGTGTGCAGTACGAGGGGTGTAGGTGTGTGTGTGTGTATGTGTGTGTGTGTGTGAATGAATTACATATACAGTCAATGGTGTGAACTCTAAAATAAGGTGAAAAAGGAAGTGGAACCGAACTGGTGAAATATAAGATATTCAGTGTTTTGTTATGAACATACAATTGAATTTTACATTAATTTAATGGCATTTAGTGGCGTAGTTGCAGATCGCTTCACCCTGCCCTTCAAAGCGCAGAAGAGAAACTATGGTGGCCGCAAAAAAAACGCAAATCTGGAGCCAGTGTTTGGTTTGGTTTGTCCCTTCTGGGCTGTAGAAACATGTCACACAGAAACAACACAGCTCCTTGCAGGATGACGTTGCATTGCAGCAAAAGTTGAGATGGTTCAACTTTGATGGAGAGCAACTTAAAACCAGATTCAAGCTGAAAAGATTCGGTCTGTTCAGTCAGTTTTTGGCATTTTTGCTTTTAAAAAAAAATGACTTTATGTGATCAGTTGATGGACAGTTTTGATAATCAGTTGATCATTAAACTGTGAAGAGGTGAATGAACAGCTCTCTGACACAGTGGTAACCTGTCTGGCGAGTATCAAGCAGAGAAAGGTGCACACAAAGTTAATAATTCATATCCTTAAACTTGTTTAATATGTGCCCTTAAATCAGTTCCCTTATATAAAAGGCATTAAGTTATTGTACCAATAAACTGAGGTTTCAGGCTGTTTCAGTGTCGATGTGTCTGCAGATTACTGAATTATTTCCCACAAATAAATATACATTTAATTTAATGCTTCCTAAACTTTCTCATTGTTTTTTTTTTTTGCTTTTGCTTGTTATTTTTAGTACTTCTTGTTTACTCTTAACTGGCCTGCTGTGTGCTACGTGCGTACATACCATTGTGTAGTGCAATACAGACTAAACAATAGAGGTCAGACCCTGGACGATGTAAATGAGCTGACCCGAGTTTATTTCGGCTTTAGTTTTAATTTCGTGACTGTGAGACGTGGATATATTTTGAATTATAAACACAACAATCTGTCATCTTAAACATTTTTAACGTGATAACTGATCTGTTTTTCATTGTATTGTATTATATCATTCAGGCTTTCATGTTTCTGTGTCCAGCCACTGTAAGAAGAAGAGACTACAACAAACACTGTACAGCACACAGAAACCAAAACATCTCTCTAACTATAACTCCGTTTATAAATGTAAAGTTCTGACTGCTTACTGATTAATAAATAATAATAAAAAAAAAAGTCACAACCTATCCAACACACAGTCACATGATAATCCACGTCTGCTCCCACAATAAGAGGATCTATTAGAGTCGGCCAGCGCATAGATAGGCTCTGTCTTCTGCACTTTGCACAGCGATTAAACCAAATTCTGTCTAATGCACTGAGACACAGATTCAGACTCCAGGGAATACTTTGCATAAAAAAAAAAAACTGTTCTGACAGTGGCCACTCAGTAATCTGTTGAAGATCATTTCACAGCATTTACGAAACGGAAGGAAGCGTTGTGTTATCCATATCCTGTCAGAAGTTATTAGTCTGAGATTCAGAGCAGAGTACAGGATGCTGCCATTCATAATTTTAAAAAGGCAAAGTTTGGTAGCTGTTACGTAAGGCTGCACGATATTGGTAAAAAATATAATTATTATAATATTGAGATTATTTCAACAGATATTGCGGCTGCTTGATGATTCACTACTAGTGTTAAAGATCATTTCTGCATCACATTTTCAGCTTCTGCAATTTGGATATTGCACCATATTGTGACTTATTTTGATTAATTTCGCAGCCCTATTGTTGCCTTTTTATACTTTTTCTTTATTTGCTTCAAGCTGCCCAGTAATAAACAGGAAATTAATTAGCAACTGGTGACCTTTTGCATCTGCTGGATTAAATAATTCAGATTTTATGCACGCCCTTCCTAAATAACCAGATTAATGTAGAGCTACTTCTACAGTATCCGACATACATACAAATCTACATTTGATCACGCATGAGCTGAAGGGGGTTGTGTACAGTAGCCAACAAGGAAATGAGATGTTATCTAAGCTTTTTTTTTTTTTTTGGGAGCTAGTCAAGGTAGTGAGTCAGGAGCTGATGCGTTGGCACCGTTTTAATAAAGCAAAAAAAAAAAAAAACAGTGAATAAAACACAGTAATTGTGAGTTAATACTAATAATACATCGTGCTAGACATTTACTGTAAACCTGGTGGTGCTCCAAATCCTCTATCCCCCTGGAGGACACGTAGCTACCGCAGAGACTCACGCCTAACGACACTCTTATTCACAAACCTGGCATTTTAATGTGGCTTTGTGTATCGCCGAAAGTACCTCCACGATAGCACACACTTTGAGACATTTTATATATCACTAACATACTCTCTTTAAATCGGCATACATGCAACACACCCAGCAGCCTTTCTTCCAGTTAAATAGTAACCTCTTTTAACTGGTTAGCCTCTCTGTTGCACGGGTTTGTCCCACCATCACCTTCCAAGCAAGGGCGGCAGCCACCGCTCTGTACCAAACCCCATTCAGATTTTAGTCAATTTAACTATCCCTAAACACATTACCTATTATTACATCGATGTGTGAACACGGAAGACTCTAGCAAACGCTCACAAGGAAAACAAAAAGGTTTTCGGTCGAGGTAAACGTCGTCTCCAGCTACGAGTTCCGAACAAAAAGGAGCATTAATGAACGGGACCGTGAACAGATGTTAAGGTGTCTCCCGTACAGCAAGCTAATATCCCCCCCCCCCACCTCAGATAATGAGCTCAAAATCAAACATTTCCAGACTGAAATTAAACCCGAGTTGAGCCTCAACACTTACCTAACACAACACATAACGTAAATCCAGTCAATAAAACACGCTTGCAGGTGATATTTGATCGTTTTGGCTCCATTGTGTTGTTGTAAACAGGAGTTTTTTTTTTTTTTTTTTTTCCTCCCTCTCTCTATCGTACGAGTCGCTTTTTTTTTTTTTTTTCTTCGTGGAAAGTTAAAGCGGCGGGATTACACAGCGCTGAGAGCGAGTGCTGCCCCCACAGGTCAACAGGCGCATTGACGCCTCGCAGCTACACTGATTCTGACAAACAATGCAAAAGTAATCTAAAAAAATAAACAAAACAATAAAATTAGGTGTGAAAAAAATGTGTTTTATCTGTAATATATATAATAGTAAATTAACTATTATTATAATAGATAAATAATATATAATATAAATAAAATAAATAATATTATAATAGATAATAAAGTCATTTGTCAGGGTGTTGCTATTGAGCAGTATCATTGGTAACACCTGTGTTTACCCTACCCTATGTCAAAACGGCTGCTGTGAAAAAGGTCTATTAAATGAAATATTATCAAAATCAAATTTCACATCGTCATGATTCAAATAGCTTGTATTTTTTTGTAAAAATGACACTTTTAATACCAAAAGCATCCTTCCCACTAATAATAAATGATATTGTAATATCTGTCAATATCCAAAATTGTTTTTAAAACATATCCTGTCATTCATGAAATTCATGAGATTTCCAGCCTAAATCTTCCAAAAGAGCATTTTGGAGAACATCTTTGGAGGGGATTTAGTGCACCTGCATGTGCAAAGCCAGTGGTTTCGCATAAAAGCCACTGAAGATTATACGTAAAATAAAAGCATTCAAGAAGTTGAGATTTTATTCTTGTTGTTGTGAAACAGCATTTATATCTCTGCTGAAACCCATGCGTATATAACTATTGTTGGTGGAACAGACTGCGACTCTTGGAGCTGATTTATTAATCATTAAAAAAAGAAGTAGAAACTCAATCAAACTGGATGCCATTTTATTTTTGCTAAATATCAGTCAGCAAACGAGAATATCGCTCTAACCCATGTACATATCTTGTGTAAAACACATATGATAACAACGCTTTGATTCATCACAGTTAAAAGGAATGATTAAAAACTGCCTCTGAAAGCTCAAACTGTGCACTCGAGTCAGTATCCAGTGGTAACAAAAATATTAATTACCATTAAAGTGCAAAATCAAAAAGAATCTTTAAAAAAAAAAAAAAAGGTTGAATGAAAACATGTTGCTCTTTGCTGTCAGTTGAATGTTTTTAACATCGTGACTTAATGGAAACCAGATTATTGTAAATGTGAGATTGTGGAATTTCAGTTTTCAATCACTATAAAGAGTTAAAATTAAAAATAATTACAAAAAAAAGCACATTTTCCACAAGTCATACTCCTCAAAAAGCACAAATAATTATATCTAATGCTTCAATTTGAGTGCTTTATTTGACATTACTTTCTATTCATACAAAAGTATAAGTGCTGTAAAACTTCAATTAAAAGCAGGGTCTCAATTAGACGCAGGTCCCCTTTACTAGCCTGGTGTGGCTACATGTTCTGGTCTTAATAAGACACCCGGTCTGGATTTTATAGAAATTCTTCGGATGTAAGTCCACTTGAGCGAATTCTAAGCTGCTTAGATCGCCTACACGAATATTAATGTTTAAACTTTTGTCAAAATGAGGCTGCAAACCGACAATTTATGCAACTTTTTGGGTTGTGTTCAAACGGGCGGGGTTTGACCTTTTCTTACTCAAGCTGACCCGAATATAAGCAGACTTGAATTCAGTGACTGAAGCAAATAAAAAGGTTGTTAATTGAAGTTTTACAGTAGTAGGTAGTACACAGTGTGAGCTTTCAGACCATCCTGTATGTCTGACCACAAATTCAAACATCCACTTCATTTTTAACATCAATCATTTTTGGGATCCAATGTACATTTTTTTTCAAATAATCCAGCAAACGTTAGATCAGAAATTATTCAATAAAAATCAACTGCTAAACCAAAAGAAACGAATTAGTGAACTGTGTGATGACCGCTGAGGAATCCTCATATTAACGCCATATGGGCCAAATTTGTTACGGTAATAGACGTTATTAAATTAGAAGGGACACTAAATGTCAACAGTAGAATTCAAACACACCAAGCCAATAATGCAATAAGGCCTTTCAGAGAAGATAATGTCCAGAATTCACACTATAAAATGTCTACTTTAAAGTTCTCAGTATCAGCCCACAATCATACAAGCCAAAAGACATACAGTTTTTCTGTCAGTGCAACTCAGGCTGGCTCGCCCACACATCCACATTATCTCGTAACACATTGCATGACTCTATCATAAATATCAACTCAAGATATCTACAGTATAGACATATGCAACACAAGGAAATGCAATACATGCAAGTCAAAAAAAACAACAAAAAAACACAGTGAATAATGTCCTTAAACCAGAAAATGCTGCAGTATGCATGTTTATATGTTGTGTACTGTATCCCTTCCTCCATTCGAGGAAGTTTTTTTTTTTTTTTTAACGATGGAGGAAAATTCATTCAGCATCATATTTTCCATATTTCTGTGTGCAACCATTTCAAGTGAGTGCAGAACATTGAGTCATGATCTTTATTCCAAGTGGAACATGACTGCAATGGTTTTTAAAAAACATGTATGGAGGTACTCAAAATCATATATTTTCTCTGTCCGCACACCGGAAAAGATGATAGGTGCAATCTCTCTGGTCCTGTTGTGACAGTCTCATCACTCAAATCACATTCCTCTGGGCTCACTTTGACATCATCATCACCGCAGAGCGATACCGCGGCAGCCTGAACGTTACAGATGTGGGGGCGTGTAGCAGCTGATGATAGTGCTACCTCTTCGGTTGTGTAATAACTTGTGGTCGCCTAAATTACTCAAAAATACAATAAAACCTGACACAGTACACAAAGCCACGTGCTTAGACTGATGAAGGATCATGCGCTGTCTTACACCTCAAACCACTAATGAGTTCCTGTGAAGCAGCTTAATGAACGCCACCTGTGTAATCCTGCCTCCCCCATCTTCTCTACTCCTAAATCAAACTGCCTGGATTAAATACGGATTATTAAACAGTGCAATTGTTTCGTTTTCAGTGTGAATTAAGGCCTCGGTATGCTTCCAAAGAAGCGCTTGTCGGATCGTCTAACAGCGTCTGGAACCCCCTTTCAATCTGCGTGTTTGACCTTTTCTCACTCAAACTCTCTTTTTTCCATTCCTCACACAACTTCACTTTTCATGCAAACGACCAAGTGAAACCACGAATTCGAGGAAACACCACCTAAAAATATCCATTTTAGTAAGATTTTTGTGTCAAGAATAAAAAAAAAAAGACAATTTTGAGTTTAGCCAATCTGCAAATTCATTCACTTTCGCCTTTCGATGTGGTCAGATGACATGAAGCATGCCGAGGTGTTTAAATCAACCTCTAAGGATTGAGACAAAGAAAAGAACTGGTTCTGTACGTTGTGTTGTCCGACCACGTCAGAGATCAAAAAGTGTTTATAGCTACATTAAAAAAGGAAGTGAAAATCCGTCTGTTTTTTTCATCCAAATGTAGCGCAAATCTTAATCGAATCTGCAAAATGCAAATGTATACACTTTTCCATTCACTACTGTTACGCGATTATTAGGAGATGAGCAGTAGGTGGCGCTAAGGCTCCAGAAGAGCGTGCAACGAGATGACAGGTAGAAGGGCGGTCAACCAGTCAAACCTCAAATGGTGGTAAAAAATAAAAAAATAAAAATGTTGACAACATAATGGAAATATGTTGCATTTATGTTAGTTTCATGTTACGGTTTTCTGATCACTCCGCAAAGATCTGACGCTATTTTCCTTCTCTACAGTGGACGTTTAGGTCGCATGCTATATTCAATTCACTATTCCACTCAGGTTTTTACGTACAAATTATAAATGTGCATAAGAACTGGTGGATGGAAACCCTCGTGTAGAAAGGGCAGAGAGGTAAGAGTTTAAATAGGAGGAGAACGGCGCACATATTAAGGGTTTGTGACTTTTTAGGAGTAAATAAGTTCAAATCCTGACTTCCTTTCTCACTTCCACACGTCTGACCACAATTACAACATGAAGCGGGCGTGAATGTGGGATTCGCAGCTCACCCTAATCCAAAATCGGAAAAAGGTTTCGGGGGAGGAGGTTCCTGAAGCTGTCCGAACCATCTGACAAGCTGTTCTTTTTAAGCATACTTGCAGCTTTATTCTTGTCACCTAATTCTACTACCGCTTTTTTTAGCGACCTCGCTGCCTCAGTTGCATGTTCCGTCTAGCCGTTCCTGTTTTTTACTAATGTTTTCACAACACGTCTAAAAAAAGATCACCGACGCTTTAAGGCTACATAAATCAAATCCGTCAGTAGCTTCACAGATTCAGTTTGTCGTAGTGATGGATGGACTGTTTCATTACTCGCAGACACACACTATAAATATGAAAAGTCAGCTGTCCTTTAGTTGGGATTTAACACACTAAATCTCCAGCAGTGTGGTTTGTTAGTTAGAGGCTAGTATTTCTCCCACCAGTCAGAAGTGTCCTTGCATAAGACACCCCCCTCTTCCAGCTACTGCTACTGTGATAGTGACAGTGTGCTCTTCCATTATAACTCATTTAAAAGTCTCCCACTGTAATTTAAGAGCTTTAGAATCACATAAAGAAAGTCCAACCAAAGTCAATTCAAAAATGCAATCAATTAAGGGAGCAAAGTGTGTATTAAAATCTATTATCTTCCATTAACACCTTCACTTTTCTCCTCACCTAACCATTTCTATACCTGTCATGAACTGGGTTAACTAGTGTTTCTATGGCTTCCCTGACAATCTAGAAACGAGTGTGAAAGTAGAAAAAAAAAAACATTGAACATGACTGAATGTTTCTTCACTGTTTTGTCTTTCTGCAGCTTCAACAAACAAAACCAAAAAAAAAAAAAAAAGGCTTCTATCAGACGTTAAGAACAAGAACGAAGCGAGAGAACAGTAGAGGATGTTTAAGAAATGGAGGGTATTGCTCAAAATTGTGTTGTGTTCCTTTTTTTTTCATCCCAGTTATGTGCAAGTATTTTCCATGAACTTCCTTCATCGTGTCTTTATCACAGGGTGAAATGACCAGAACAAGGTGGAAAATGTCAGAGATAAAACAGCAAGAAAAAGAGGGAAGGGGAAGCGGGGGAAAAACAAAAACACCTGGAAAGAACAAGCGGTTGGAACGAGGAAGCGATTATCAACCGCTTTAAAAACAGACGGAGAAAAGTTATGCATCAAATTGTTTTCTATTTACCTGGAAAGAGAAGTTGCAGATGAAAAGTGCTTTAGGAGACGACAAACCTTTTTTGGTTGAGCTAATACAGACAGTCATATCTACAGTAGAAACAAGACACAGAGACTTCCATCCACTCCCTCCGTCCACAGTCGCACATTTAGTTATTTACATTTTTGTTTAGTAGTGTTCTTCTTCATTATTCTATCCATCCAAGACTCTTAATGTACACAAAAGGCTCCTCATGCCGTGTCTGCCCCTTGTCCCTCCAAGCTCTTCCTCTGTGGTTATGGGGGGTATGGGGGGTGTGGGGGGTAGGGGCAGGGAAGGGGGGGGATCAGGGAAGGGTCAGATCAATAATGTTATTGGGCCAGTGATAAGAGAAAAGAGGGGGAATGAAACTGAAGTTTTCATTCAGTGGTATCATGTCTCTGGAAGCTGGTTGATGTCAGTCAAGTTGGTGTCATTGAGGATGACTTTGATCCGATCCAAAGAGTCTGCCTGTCGTATTCGCTCCAACTGTACCTGCGGACAAAATATGTATTGATTAATTTAAAGTAAAAAATAATGCTTTCTTTCAGTCCATTAAGGTTAAGCGAGCTTTAATCCAGTGTACGGATACTCTCCATCCTTTCCTTAATTCAATCCGTTGTAAAGAGATTTAGCATTGCACTCCTATAAACACTGTTGGACTCACGATGGACAGTTAAAATCGATGCAGCAGAACCAGACATATTGGGGGTTTTTTCTTCCACGTATTCTTGATCCTTATCAAAACCTGGCGCCTACGTTACCCACAATGCAACTGGACCGCCGCCAGTGCAGTCTGAGTTTCTGGTGAGCCTCAAGCAGAGACGATGAGCAGACTACAGACCTCTCTTCTTTCTAACTCCACACCAACAGATTATGTTTATTAACAAAACAATACACACATAAGCAGTAGCCCTCCACACGACCTCGAAAACAGACTCTGATTTATAATTCCACCTTAAATGCAGGATAAACAACCTTTCTGTTGTATCTTTCTTCGTCCCGAGCAACAATAAAAGAGTCACAAATACAGTTACCATATTCACAAAGGCAAAATATCACCACATGTTCTAATAAGTTAACAGTTTGGATGTGGCGTGAGGAGACAACACCCTACAGGGACCGACGCTCTCCTCTTGCCAAGTAGAATCAAGTTCAGCCTGGACTCTTTGTGACGATGTCAAGAATGATCCTGCTTCCTGCGAGTTAATCTTTATTCCAGTTCTCTAACAACTTGACCTTCGAGGGTTAAACTATTTGGACGTGTTGCACCAACTACAGGGTCAGCAGATTTTTTTTCCCCCTCCTAGTTAGCGACAGGCGTCCAGAGGAAATGAGCTGTCAGAGGATGTGCCATCTGCAGAGGGCATCAATATCATTTAATTCTACACAAACATGACGGCAGGGCATGTTCTCTCGTTGAATTACTCTCACATTTGAAGAAATTTATATATAAACAGTCAAAAGGGTTCAATTAAGGTCAAATAAAAAGTTTTTATTGGTCTATTTTGATCATCTTTTACACGTATCTTCTGCTCTTGACTGTTTTATATCATCATGAACTGAATATATCTGAGTTTTGAACTGTCGCTTGGACAAATAAGACTTTTCAATACGTCACCTTCGTGTTTTTTTATTTTTTCTTTACATTTTATAGACTAAACGATCACTATGATCGTTAAATCTCGATTAATAGCAGATCACTTGATGATGAAAAGACTCATTAGTTGCAGCTCCACAATGCTGTCAACACTATTAAACTACATTTTAGCCTTAAATGAAGCTAAACCTAAATGTTTATATTTTAAATGCTTATGTTTTAATTCAATATAAGCTTAAAAATCGAGTCCCAACAAGACTAAAGTTATAACCAGCATAATCTTCTACTGATGCACATAAAGGATAAGGCCGATAATATTCTATATATTTCTTACAGTCAACAAATCCCCTGAGAATACAAAAACATTAGTCCATTTATTAATACTTTGTCATTTCTAAATTTCTAAAGCCTATTTGTTCCTACTGAAGACCTTAATATATACAGTTAATTTTCTTTAGAAAGGCTTAATAACCAGATAGCTGCTCAGTGTAGTTTTTAGCATACAGCACATTGGTTGGGGACTATTTTCTGCAGCGTATTAAATCCACATTTGGTGCTGTAGTGAGTGTTTGGAGCAGCAGGTCGGTGTTTGTGGGACTGACTCAAAACAAACCACAGTGTGTGTGAGTGTGTGCACATGTGACCCAGTGCAACAAAGCTGCTCATTGATGACAACAATGGAGCTCTATGGCACAGGGGAAGAAGCTACATCAAGATACACAAACAAAACCTGTTAGTAGGATCAATTCTTTGCTGCTTTGGGTCCATTGTTTTGTACAGAATTCTGTCCATAAACGGTGAACTCCTCCTTACCTGAAGGGTCTGAGAAAGTTTGACAAAGTCCTTCTGAACCTGCTCGCTGACATCCAGCTCCGTTTGCAGTCTCTGGGCTTTGTCTCTCTCATCAAAGACCTGACTCTCTAGTGCACTCTGCAAAAGTGAAAACACACACACACACACACACACACACACACACACACACACACACACACACACACACACACACACACACACACACACACACACACACACACACACACAGATGAAGTCAATTAGAGAGGCTAAATGGAGCCAATAAACTGCAATAAAAAAAAATAAATCAACATTACAGATGAACTGAGATAAATATTTAACCGAAACATTTACTGAATAATTTAAAATTATGTAGACTGCACCTTACTGGCTGAATGAATAGTTTAGTGTCATCACAGCAGTTCACAAGCGGCTTTGGATTTCCTAAAAAGCTTTAAAATATTTACATACTGTACATACAGGCTCTCTCTTGCACGTCTCAACTTCATCTAGCAGCTCTTAATATACATAAGGAAATATTATACACTGAACCTTGAAGGATCTGCTACGCTCACATTTTGAGTAGACTTTGGTGTGGGAGGCCTACAGGTAAATGTGTCTCACCTTTGCAGTGGTGAGCTCTTTGAGCTGATGCTCCAGTGTGATCCTCAGGCCCTGGAGGCTCTCCAGTGTTTCAGTCTTCTCCGCCAGACTGCTCTGCAACTAAATCAACGACAGACATTGTAGGAGTATATATCAATAATACACAGCACTGCAAATCAAATAAAGAAGAGATTATTACAGCAGTGTTGTTGCGATTAGGGATGAACCGATCTATATGGTCAGGAGACATTAAAGGTTTTTTTTTTTTCAAGCCTGTATGTGCATGATTTGAAAATGTCTAACTTTGCTGCCCCCCAGTGGTAGCATCAAAAAGAAACTGTGGCAGATTGTCAATATTAAAGCCGCATTTGTTGATTTTTTTGGTCACTAGGGGGCAGAACCAGCAATGTTTGACTTATTAATGTATCACCTTATATTGATATGTAGAATGTGTTAGCATACAGTTGCCACTTTACACATCCAGCAGGCACAGAGCAGCATTATCATTCATTTGGAGTTGTGTTTTTGTATTTCTGAGTCAAATATTCACTATTCCTCTTAATTTTTGGTTTTCAAAAACTCCTGAGGGAAATATCTGGCTCTGGACCTGATAAATACTTCGCTATGTTCACAAGCTAGTCACTAATTTTGTTTAGCTGTGTCCAAAATCACTCTATTTACTATTTAGTGCACTATGTTTACTGTACGTTTTATTCTAAGTGTGAAATCTTGCTCTATATAGTGTCCTCAGACATTTACACAATGCCACAAAAGATTCATTCAAGCATGTAAAGTTTCTGGTAATAATCCCACAATGCATAGAGTCGCTACTCTACATCTTTTAGCAATGAGGTAAAATAATAATAAATAAACAATAACCGATAAAATCACGGTTTCACAATATAACAGCATACGGTATTACACAATTATCATCATCATCATCATCATCATCATCAGTTACAGTGACACTGAGTTTTTTCTATTGGGTAAACAAATGCTTTAATAAACTTTCACAATATATGTCCTTTATTTTTATTTATTTATTTACTTATTTATTTTAAAGACTATATTTTTAGTTGTTAATGTAAAAATATTGGGCAAAACAACTTGATTGTGACATCTCCAGACACAATCGAAGTGTCTTAACAGTCTTTTGACAAAATGAGTCACATGCACATAAGAGAAAGCTCTGTACGTGACGGTTTCCTCACTAAGGTGTAATACTGCAGGATATTAAAGAGTACCTGTTCCTTCTCTGCTTTTATTCGCTCCAGCTCCGTCTTCAGACTGGAGAAAGATGCTGCGGGAAGGAGACATCATTAGAGCATCATACTGTACACAGTGCTTATTTGAATCTCAAAGCCCATATATTCTCTCTGGATTCATTACGTGGTCCCTTGAAAATTACTTGGCAGTTCCTCAATAATGCAGCTTTAATGATGGGAAAGCTGCTTTGCTGAAAGCTGCTGTGTGTGTTTGCCCTGTGTGAAACAGAGATCTACACGACAAAACCTAAAAGCTAATACACGAACATATCCTTCAAGCCAGGGTTGAACTACACAAACAACACTTTGAAAGAAACATGAAACATTTAATAGCTACATTGATTTTTTCAGTTCACTGGCCACTTAAAAGTTTAAGGGAAGTGGTAAAAGTCCTGTCTGTGTCTCCAGTAGATCTGTCAGGTGTCAATGCTCATGTTTTAGCATTAAATATGAAGATGAACCTTTCAGTTATCCAAACATGTTTAACATGCATTTTATGTGAGCAATAATCCCACTTTTAGTTAATAAATGTGTAACATCTCTTGGGAGCCAACAAGAGGATACAGACATTTTATAACTAACATTACTGTCTACAGCAAGCAAGAGAAAATAATACATACAAGATTTTTGTAAATTAATAGTAAATTAAATGTAAGATGCTCCATAATTTTAATACCTTCTAAGGCATTTTGAATTTCATTATATAACCCTGCGGTGTAAAATGACCTTTAAATATTAATTAAATAACGTTGCATCTTTACAGAAAACTGAATTAAATTCTTTTTAAGGCTTTTCGAGACCTGCTGATCCCAGGGATCTCAGAACCCTGACATTTCACAGGCAAAGTTATAATTTGATTAAAATAAATGTAAAAGAGTTGTCACTGCAGCCCTAGTTTAAACATTGTGTTAATGTTAGACCAGACACAACAATTAATCACAAACAGAGAAGACTTTGACACCAACTTTGAAAAGGTGACCAGCAAGCTAAAGCTCTAAACAAGTGACTGTAGTCCTTTGAGTAAACAACAACACAGTGCACACATATTATTTTAAGCTGTCCAACAGTGTTACTTATCAAAAGGATATACAAACATTCTTGATATAATTACTATTAATTCACATTTCAGTTGTTCCAAAAACGTGTGAGGGAAAGCATTATGTTGTAGGGTCACTACAGTTATTAGTCTGACAGCTACACCATTAACACACATACAAACAGTTAAAGTGGGCTCGTTCAAAGTGTTTGTCATACCTTCCAAGATGTCTGAATGAGAGTGATCAGTGGAGAAGAAACAAAAGCAGAAACAGAGGAGAATGTAAAGAAAAGAATCCAGAAAAGGAAAAATACGCCATCTATGCTGGCTACATCCCCACACAAGCTGTGAGTTGAAAAATGATTGGTTAGTTATCTACCGTATAGCTGATCAATGGTTAGTAAACGACGAAACATTGAGAGTGACTGAGTTTTACCTATCTCCTCCTTACAGCCTTCGATCTCTAGCTGCAGAGTGTCCTCCAGGTTCTCCTTCAGACACTGCTCTGCCTGGATCTGCTCCTTCAGAAACAGAATCTCAGCTTTCAGCTTCTCCTCCATGTGGTCGGCAGACGTCCGTAACGCCACCAGGTCCTCACGCAACCGCAATACCAGGCCTTGTAGCTCCTGAGGAAGAATTAAACTACATTACAGGCATCAATGTAGGGGAATCATCATAATATAACGCAATTTGGCAAAGATAAAGCTAAATATGGAAGGAGTTTGCAGATGGCTTTGACTTTCTTTCTTTAAATATCAAGTTGTATGCAGATGACATACACCTCTATATTCATATGGTGTAAACTAAAATAAAAATCTATTACACTATATGAGTTGTATAGCCAAATATTTCTGCATTTATACTGATAGAGTTTGACAAAAATATTAGTGATTGATTGTCTTTATTAATCCTGAAAGGCCAGTGTGTAGGATTCATTGGTATCTAGCACTGAAGTTGCAGATTGAAACCAACTGAATACTGCTCACCTTCCAAGCATATAGGAGAAACTACAGTGGCCTTGAAACTCACAAAAGGCCCCATCTAGAGGCAGTGTTTGATTTGTTAACATTCTCCATAGAAGAGGACCTCTGTAGATAAAAACAGCTCATTCTAAGGTAATAAAAACACAACAATTCTTATTTTCAGGTGATTATACACTAATGAAAACATACCTATGAATATTTTATTCCATTTCTGCTAGTAGATCCTCTTAAATGTTACACATTGGACCTTTAAAAATCTAGAATGGTAGACTGAAAACATTAGACATAGCCCTCAATTTTTTTTTAATGATAATAATAATATATAATATAATAATATATGATAACGTCAACCTGGCAACGCAACAATTTGTAAAATCCTGTCTTAGAGTATTATTAACTGTTGTGCAATGTTTCTTCTTAGAAAGATTAAGACTCATGAATCTGTTACTCAAACTGGCCCTCCTGGATCGTATCTCATGTCTCACTGGTATCTGAAACAACACCAAAACAACCCTTTGCATTGTTTTGAATTTGTTTAAATTATGGCAATAACTTTACTGTAAATGACCACATAAAGTTGGGTAAGTTGTATAAAGAGATGCTGATCTCTAATAATTCTGAAACACACATTTCTCCATGTATGCATGAATAAATAAAACCTACACAGGACTGGCAGTTAAATTTAATGTCAGTTGTAACTAAGAAATCAAGAAGTAATCCAGTAATGCATATAAAAATATCTGTATCTGCATCATATTAACATGATGTTTAGTATCTTTATACAGTAAATACAGATTTAAATGTTATGTCACAGGCTTGTTTAACCACCAACAAGCTGTAAATGTCACTGGATCATCGGTGCTACTCCACCTCCACTAAAGCACAGGCCCACTCTGCTGCCAGATATACTGCCAGATCATAATTCAGCAAGAGGCCAAGAGTAACAGTGTGGGAGGAGGTGTGTGTTTGAGGGAGGACAGCACACAGTTGTAAAAAAAAAAAAAGAAAAAATAGTTATCTTTATCAGGAAGCTCAGAATATAGCAGTGGTGCCATTAATCACTGATAATGAGCCAGTTGAGCCTCAAAGGTGTTTCCACAGAGGCAATTATCTTCTGACCGTTACACTGCTGGGATTATTTTTTCTATAATTTGGTGTCAGTTTCCCCACTGTCTATGTGGGGACATGACTGCTAAAGCTGTGACAGTTTTAAAATTAAGTGCAGACTCTGTCTACCGAGAGCAGCTGGCTGTTCGGTGACAAATGGTGCGCACCCAGAAGCATCTCCTCGTATGAACCCAAAACATGCAAATGCAATTGGAGCCTTAAAGTGCATTCTTCATTATTAATCACAACTCAAAGTTCATCTTTTCTGGGCCTTTCGATGCTGCTTTCTAACTTTCAATACACTGTGTGCTCCATTCACAGAGGAAGACCATTAGGGGTGGGTAAAAATATCGATTCATCAATGCATTGCAATTTATTTTTTCCCAATTCAATATCAATTCATAAAAACCCTCTGAATCGATTCAAGCCCCTGGCCAGCGGGGGCGGTGAGCAACACCTTTGTGTGATTTGAGTTTTACGGACGGAGGCCGCACTGGACCACACAACAACAACATGGCAACCGAAGCAGGTAGCAGCAGTGTTAAACCAGCGCCTTCAACTTTAAAAGCAGACATTTGGAGTCATTTTGGATTCCAGTGTAAACCCGGAACAAAAGTAAGGTCCTTCCTTTGCAAACTGCCGCCAAACTCTGCCCGCGTGTGGCCGTCTTCATATGTAAGGACCTACGACCGTACAGTGTCGTGGAAAACGGGGGTGTTAAGAAGATGGTATACACACTCGAACCACGGTACGCCATACCAACATGCAAACACATGGTGGAAGTCGCCATCCCGAAGGTGTACACAGGTAAACACAGCAGTTTTGGAGTCGTTGAAGTCAGCAATTATTTTAAAATGATCAACAGGTGAATTATTTGTGTAATTCTACTTATTTCTGAATCGATATCGCAGCAAATAAATCAATATCGAATCGAAATCGAATCATATTGTGACCTAAAGAATCAAAATCAAATCGATTTAGTCAAGTCCTGTACTTAAGAACAATTGTAGGTATTTGTAACTAAGTATTTACTAGTATTAATATATGATACTTTAGACTTCTATTTTAACACTTCTTGGAGGTAAATATTGTACTTTTTATTTTACAGCTTCAGTTACTTTGTATATATTTTTTTAACACTAAGACTTTATTGGATCTTCTTGACAACAGATGTACATTGTTGCCAGGTGGCACTTCCATAACATTCATATATCAACTTCAGATTCAGGATTACAGAAGGAAGGGGACTTTAAACAGCACTACAAATGTTGTATGCAAGTTTCCATGTTTAGTTTACAGCAAAAAGAAGGCAAATGTTTGACAGTGGGGATGACAGGGAAAAAGCCATCAACCACATTTCTTATTCCAGCAAATGTCTTCTCCATTTTGAGTAATTTCTCAATCTCAACAGAAGAGTCAGTCTTTCCATCTCATGAATCTCTTTGAAGATTTCAAGCCAATTATCTACTGTAAGTGGGTCAGTCCGTAAGCATTCATGAGCACACATAACACACATACAAATCTGATGCACTGGCACAGAATAAACCAAATAAAGTAGTTAGAGAGTTCATTTTTGCCATAGGACTGTGGATTTTGTCCCCCAACACTTCTACTTAAAACACCTTAAAGACAAATCTCCCAGTGAACCTATACTTTAAAATTAGGTCCACCTTGACCAACCACCACAACTGAATGCTACTCACACATTAATGTGTCAATAATAATGATGGATAATAATAATGTACGAGACTTGAATGCATGGTACTTTATCAGATTAGTATTTAGACAAGATATCCCCTCACTGTGAGTACATCTTGATTTTACAGAACTTTATCACTGATCTTATCTTCACCTTTGATTTATTATCTTATTGTATTATTTTTTTCCAATCATCTACTCTGTTGTCAGTTCAATCTAATGATAAGAGCAGGGTGTTTTCTTTAAACTAGTGCCAACACAATTTCAATACTGATAACAGAAACAATACTTTTTCAATACATTACTTAGCTCTACAAGAACGTCACCAAAATAAAATACATTCTAAAATTGGCCATTTTAATCTGGAACTATTGGATAAAAGAATAAACAAACAAGACTATGCATTTGACAAAACATTCAATGCTCGGTTACCATACTTAACAGTACAATTAAACTTGACAGACACTTGATGCTGATCCTGAGTTTGATTTGGGCTTACTTGCACAGTATTGGGCATCTGGAAGTCCTCTTGTTGCTGTAGTTCTATGTGCAGCCTGTGTTTTCCCTGCAGGCTGTCGTTATCTCTCTGTAGTCGGCTGAGCTCATCTGCCACCTGCTCCCTCGACTTCACCAGCACCGCCTGGAACAAACAAACAAAATAAATCACTCCATCTCATAAGGTGTCAGTTTGTCTGTCATATGGAACCGGGCCCATTTCAACACATGGTGAAGAGTGACTCAGCGATCAGCGTCTACTTTTAAAGCCACACTCCAGCTGACTCTATATGCAAAAGCTATAATTTTTGCTAGGTGTTATGACATTAAGACTTAATACATGACCATATTCAGACCCATATTTCTTTAAATCAAAGCCACATGCAGCAAAAAGGAACGTGTCATTGTTCTGGCAGAAGAGTTTGTTTGCAGAGACTTTCAAGGCACACTCCAGCATGTGGTATGATACAGCTTGCAGCTGCACACTCATTATTGAGAATGTTTCAGTCTCATTCACTTCTTCCTCTTTTCCCCCTCATAATTGGACGATCAGCTAGAAAAAGTCTACTTACATTACTTAGCAAAGCATATGGGAATGTTTGCAGTGATGTACAGTGTACAAATCTGTACATTTCTATTGTGTGGTGGATGAACAATGCAGCAGCAAAGAGCTCCAACCTGTCAGCAAATATTTGTGGTAGGGAGAAAAAATGATGTTACGCAAGAGTTACATTTTACTTCCAAAAATGTTTTTCTTCTTTTAGGTTTAAACTAAACTTCAAAACACTCACACAAGTTAATAGATAACAACTTGGATAAGCGAGAAATATTACACTATGCTGCAAAAATGTGAAGATTTTCTAGATTAGAAGATTAAATATCTTTTTTTGTTTTTGTTTTGTTTGTGACTGTTGGTTGGACAAAACCTTCTTACTTAGATGTTACACTGTAACACTAACCTTTCTTATCAATCCGTGTGAACGTTTGTGCTGTAAAATCTCTACATCTCTGTTGCGGTTGACGAGCAACTTTTGGACATATTTAATGCCATTTTTGCAAGTACAAATTCCTGCAGCCAAGAGCTTCATTGTGTCAGCAAATATTTGTGGTGGAGAGGAACAGTGACGTTATTGCCACAGAGACAGAGAGAAGTAAAATCCAAAACACTAACAGGCAGTATCCATGAGCTGCAAGTCACTTTGGCTACACGTCTGATAACCACACTAGAGCCCGATGTCAAAACAATAAACTGAACTGCTTATTTTGAAGGGCCAAAGTCATGCCAGCATTAGGAGACTCTGACATTAGAAAGAAGTAGACATCCAAGCACAGCTGGCAAGAACAAGTAACACGGGGCTAACGAAAGAATATCCTGCTCACCATCTGTTCCTGCGTGTTCCTCTTAGCGTCACTGAAGGCCTGTTGTAGTGTGCTGAGCAGCGTTTCTGACTCCTGGACTCTTTGCAGGAGGGCGGACACCTAAAACACAGAAAAAAAACATCACTAAGGCAAGAGAAAGTCTTCAAAAGTCTTAAAACTACAGTTAGAAACACTGAATATACATTTTGCATACAGTAAAAAAATGTAAAGTTCACGCTTATGCTTACGCTGTGGTCATTTTATACAATACACCATAAAGATTCATTTTAAAATGAACTACACTGTCGACAAGTAGATATGAAAGGCAAATACTACAGCTTGGGAGCTACTATGCAGCACCAATCAGCAGTTGCAGTAACATGCTGACCATGCTGGCTTTCAAACGGTTTCAGACGCAGTTTTCGCCACAGCTGCGACGTCAGTCTAAAATAAAGCTGAGGTTTGTGAACAGGGCCCCTTAATGTAGTTCATATTGTGACACCACAGAACCAATATGGTGCTTTTTTTGGCCACAATTTACTACATGAGAACCACATTTGACATAGTTATAAACACAACAGTAGTACAACACGACATGAAATGCCAAAAATTCACAGATTTCAGCATCTCAGATGTGAGCATTTTCTACATTTCTTTGTCTTATGTGATATTAAATTGAATATATTTGGATTTTGTACCATTAGTTCAATAAAACAACACATCTGAGGATGTTGTAGGGCTTTAACAGTAACAATTTGTAATTTCTCACTATATTCTGACACCGAATCGAGAAAATAATTAGCAGGATAGTCAGTAATGAAAAAAATAAAAATTAGCTGCAGCCCTACCTGTGTTTACATCTAACAATAATGTCTCTAATATCAAGTATTAAGTAGCAATACCTCAAAATAATCCTGCAAACCATCAACAAATAATTCTATACCAAATTGTCATTTGCGGTCACAGCGGCGTGAAATTGAAGCAACCCAGATGTATGAGCGGTTTATGACTCTGCTCTACTACATCCTGCTCTTCATCGCACCCACAGGTCTGCTGAATAAAAAATGTGATGCCGCAGGCATTAGTTTGGTCAGACCGGTAGGAAAGAGGATGAGTCATGCGGCTGTTGCCCTGGTAACCTTCTGTTGTTGAATAAAGAGAGGATTGATGGGAGTGCACGTATAGAGCACAGTGACATCTTAATTGTTATCTATATACTTCATGTTTTTATGCACTGATTTATTGGTTTTATTGTATCTGGCAGGATGAATCTGTCTGTACTTAACCAGAAAGCTCATAGTGACATCTTAATCAATCAATATAGATACCATTAATATATATACATTAATAAGGGAATTTCAATGAATGTACATTTTTGCTTGAAAAAAATGTCAAATATTCTCTGGTTTCAGCTTGTCAAATGTGAGGATTTGCTACTTTTCTTTGTATTAATGATAGTAAACTGAATATCTTTGTTTCAGACTTTCAGAAAAAAAGCTATTTCAGCTTAAGTTCTGGGATTTTAAAGTGGGAAAATAACTGATATTGAAAATAATCATTAGTTGCAGTTGGAATAAAACCGTATTATCACTGGGCATTTAGACGCATCAACTGGTCAAAGAATGTAAGACAGCAAACAAACAAACAAATCAAGCATAAAGGGGGTTTGTGTGAATGTTGGAGAGGCCTCTTAAGATACATTAACACAAACTGTAGTTAGAGTATGGGTGCACCGTTGAGCGTTTTCATTGCACTGCTCAATCACCAACAACACCCCCTCCTACTCTGCAGCTCTCCTTCCAGTGTGGTAAATCATCAAAAATACCCAACCAGCAAAAACAAAAAACCTCAATGTTGCTGGTGCAAAGCTACACTTTCGGTAATGCACCTACAAAAAGATAATGCCTGTTTTCTTGCACACTCTGAAACAGGAATTCAACACCTTCACTACTTTTGAAACATTATTCTTAATATAATACTGTACTTGACTCCATGCAACAAATGATTAAGATGTAACAGACAGAAGGTATAATGAACATTAGGACCAATCAGGACCAGGTTTCATGACCTAGAAACTCTGTGTTTAACTAACAAGCTAGATGTGAGGAGCTGTAACAGCATTCATGCTTGAATTATTTAAAATATTTCTTTGATCGCACGAGGAAATATGAGTCAGTTCTTTCTCAGAGGTTTTCAACCTGAGAGGACCCCCTGGGGAGGCGTGGGAGAGTTGGAGAGGGGGCGTGGAGAGAGAGAAATAAGGTAAAGATACTGTGGACGTTGAAAGGAATAGGTGCATGTTAGTGGTCTGGAAACAGCAGGAAGTTATTTATTAAAGTTTGGCCTGCTGATTCGGCCCACATAGATTCAGCGTGACTTTAAGCGCCATCTAGTGGGCAACACTTTTTTTGTTTAGTAAAGCTAGTTATTTATACATTTAAATGTGCTCAAGAATTCATATAAATAAATAAAAATCCCATTAAAATGAAACAAAAAAGTGATGTGGGCGACAACCCTGCGCCGGTTAAAGCTCCAAACCTTGTGGAGAGGAAATATGATCCTGAATACATTAAATTTTGATTCATAATGGCAAGCAGAGACGCTGAGCTGAAAGCAGTCGGTGTGTTGAATGTGCTGAAACCCTTTCACAGCCCAGTTTATTTTTCCTCATTTATTTGGAAATGTGGACGTCAGAAATGTTTTAACAATCAGAAGTTAACAAAAGGTTGAGATCCCCTGACTTAAACTCTCTGAGGATATCATGATCTCAGATTGTCTGTTGGGAAAAAAGGTCCATGAATCTGCCTTAAGAGACACCGCAGCAGTGGCCATAGAATCATCTCGTTTATAAGTTTTCTTCAGTATCAGTAGTCCAGTGACAGTTGTCTGTGTATCCATGGGTACAGTGCAAACAGGAGCTGCCAATAGCCTATTCAGCATACTTTTAATGGTGCCAAAAGGTAAAAACAGGCTTTAAAAATGGGGCTCAAGTATCTCGACTGAATCCACAGCAACAACATTACACTTCCTGTCTCCATCCCCCGAAGCACTGTGCGAACAGTGTGTGTTCATGAGGAATTTAATACAGCGAAACAGAACAAACACATACTGTAGAAAGCAGCTCAAATAATAAACAAAAAGGTTCTCTTCTACCTCAAGTCATTATTCTCTGCTATCGAATTTAATTTGACGTACTGAGAGTCCTTCAAAAACAGCTTTAAAACCACCCTGTCAGTTTTATATCAAACACTAAACTAGATATCTTAAGGGGGGGGAAAAATCAACACAATTATTTCATTTTCATTACTCTGATGTTACCTTAGCAGCGGTTTCCTCGTTGCCTACTTTGACCGAATCTTCCAAACTCTGTTTCTCGGTCATCGTCCTCTCCAGCTGATCGTTGGCCTGACGCAGCATCACCTGCAGTTTCTTCACCTGGAAGACCACGAGATGGAGAAACATTTTCAACCACTATACCACGCTTCTAAAAAACATCTGTCGTCTACTGTTGGCAAAGATTCTTACTAGCAAAAAAGGAAAGCAGCAAACCTGATCTCTTGTCTCAGCCTCTTGTCCTTGGATGGCCTGCAGCTGCTTCTCGTAGTTGGAGCACATATCGCAACGTCGGCCGAGCTTCCTGCCAGCATTTTTCACCTAATGACGGACCAACAAGAAAACCATGAAACACTTAATAGTAACCATTTGTTAACGTAATGCCTTACAGCAAATATATATGGAATATCTGGGTTAACGCTTCTTTAAAACTTGAGAAAGACCTTTTAAAACTATATTTCAGCAACAATTTATTAAAAAGATCATGAACGAATGAAATGTAGTGTTCCTTTTCCCCAAGCACTAGGACTGAATACAAGGAATTTGACATCCCAGTATGTGTTGGGAATTCTTGCCAAAATCTGGTCCTGCTTCTTGGGAAAAATAACTCCAGCCGTGCACTAGTGCGGTCATAAAGTAAAGAATATTGCATACTGAAACAAAGACACCTTCTCCAGACCTCATCATACCCTCCATGTAACTGTTGTCAGACCCTAAATTGCTGTTACTAAAGTAATCTGTCCGACTTTTCATCTGCAGCAACTTATTCCTAATAACTGTCCCGATAAGATTGTTGTTTCTGCTGTGTGGGAAAATACATTTTAGACTATCTGAACGAAGCAGAGTGCAAAATCAGTTCAACAAATGTCTACATCAGATATACAGAGCAGATCTCCGAGGCCCAAATTAGAGCAGCAGGGCCGATTTCAGAGAGGCACTCAACAAGTGGAGCGTGATGTACAGAAGATCGATTAAACGTTATAATCCAGTTAATTTAACAACAAAATAATGAGCAGAAATGGCTGCATGTGATGGATTTTCCTTCCCTAACACTGCACACTGTAACAACGTCACGTAAGACCTATGAAGAGGATATGCTGAATAATAATGCAAATCAAATCAATCAAAATCAAATGATTCTGTGAGAATTACTTTTTTTTTTTTTTTTACAAACTTCTGTTCTCCTAAAAATATTTAAGAAAAGAAAACAACTAAGGATTGCTGAAACTACTAAAATCGGGTTAAGAACTGTCCAACGCCTTATTAAAACCTGGAAGGATAGTGGTGAACCATCATCTTTGAGGAAGAAATGTGGTCGGAAAAAACTCTTGAATGATCGTGATTGGCTATCACTTAAATGTTTGGTGAAATCATATCGTAAGAAATCAACAGTAGAACTCACTGCTATGTTCAATAGTGAAAGAAAGAGCATTTCCACACACACAATGCGAAGGGAACTCAAGAGATTGGGAGCCGTGTATCATAAGAAAACCACTGATCAGAGAGGCTAATTGGGAAAAAAAGGCTTCAATTTGCTAGGGAGCATGAAGATTGGACTTTGGATGTGGTCTGATGAATCCAGATTTACCCTGTTCCAGAGTGATGGGCGCATCGGGGTAAGAAGAGAGGCGGATGAAGTGATGCACCCATCATGCCTAGTGCCTACCGTACAAGCCTGTGTGGGCAGTGTTATGATCTGGGGTTGCTGCAGTTGGTCAGGTCTAGGTTCAGCAACGTTGTGTCCCCAAAGAATGAGGTCAGCTGACTACCTGAATATACTGAATGACCAGGTCTTAACATCAGTGGAGCTTTTCTTCCCTGATGGCACGGGCATATTCCAAGGATTCATCAGGCTCACATTGTGAATGAGTTCAGGGAGCATGAGACATCCTTTTCACACATGGATTGGCCACCACAGAGAATCTTTTGGATGTGCTGGAGAAGAGTTTGCGCAGCGGTGCGACCCTCCAATCATCAATACAAGATCTTGCCGGAAAACTAATGCAACTCTGGACGGAAATAAATGTTGTGACATTGCAGAAGCTTATCGAAATGTTGCCCCAGCGAATGCGTGCCGTACTCAAAGCTAAAGGCGGTCCAACGAAATATTAGAGTGTGCAACCTTTTTTGGGGACGGGCAGTGTATATTCCCATGAAGTAATCATCCTAAAATCACAGGAAAACCTTACAAAGTTCTCATAACCACTAAGGATGGGCATGAGTACTCGAGTACCTTGTGAATTTGGTCAAATTTGTCGACACAATAAGCCTGAAGAGGCAAAAAAAACTAAAACTAATGTAATACTAATTTAACTAAAATTAACTGAAACTAAACTGAATCTAAAACAAACACTAGGAACGAAATAAAAATAAAAGATTTGAGGTGATGTATGAGGGAAAGTGCGGTCAAATCTGATCTGAAGTTTTTTTTTAATTCCTCCAAGAACTCGATCATTTAATTAATCATCAGTCAATCATTCATTAAAGATCCCTAATAAGCACTATATGTAACCGCAGCGCTGTATCCAAACTATTAAAACTTCTCGGGGGTTGCACCTCTTGCTGGAGCAGGTTCCACTCGCTGTCGCTGACGAGTCTGTAGCCTGCTGGCGGTAAGTAGGCGTTCTCGGGGGCGTGGGAGATGCTGGAAAGCAGCGACGCCGTCTCCTCCTGCTCGGGCGTCATGGCCTTGATGGCCTTCTCCTGGTCTTTAGTCAGCAGGAAATGACTCGCCGTCAGCTTGATGGAGCTGATGGACGAAGTTTCGCCAAAACTACTGTCTGTCACTCCGCAGTCAGCCCCCACCAAGGGCCCAAAGTCCGACTCGTCCAAGTGGCTGGCTGACTTGGCTTTGTGGTTGTGGCCGCCGAGTCCCTGCTGGACGGACAGCGAGGAGCCGAGGCTGTCTGTTGACTGAACTCTCCGCAGGTTATCCTTGTAGGGGTCCATGGGGCCTCCCGCGACCACATCAGTGTCTAAGGAGTGCATAGAGCCGTGGGCGCTGTGGTTGGCGTGAGGCTGAAAGAGAGAGAAGGAAAACCAAAAGTAAGGTTTTTCTTCAACGTCAGAAAAAAGAGAGACAAAAGATTCCTTTTATATTTCACTAATGCTTCGAGATGAGACAAATAATCTGTGGTTTTATTGCCTTTATTTGATAGGAGCAGCCAAAGAGAGATGGGAAGGTGGGAAGAAGAGGGGGGACGACGATGCAGCAAAGGGCTAACGGACCAAAGGTTTTACACTACTTACCAATCTACAGGTGGCGATAATGCACCAAGAATACCAACAAAAGCAGGGAAAGAAGAAGACTTCAAGCGATTAAACGTCCAATATAACAATCAAAGTTTCAAAATAAGTTGGATTTGAAATGTTGTATGAAGAAATAAATGCATTCAACACATTAGTTAGATCTCAAGGATACAAACGATGTGTTTTGGTGAAAACAAATCATATTACAATTATTATAATATGATTCACAATTAGTGGGTATGATCATTTTTGCATCACAATTTTCATCTTCAGTGAGAAAAGCACTACAGTTCTTCATTATAATGCTTTGTCACATATTTTACTTTTATCAAAAGGTACTGCACCAATGTGGACAAAAAGAGAAAAGTAGTGTTACTTTGTCTGCTATGAACTGAAGTAAGAAATAGCAGCTGGCTGGAGGATGCAGATACTATGCTTTAATATCTACCATAGTGCAGTTTAACATGTTTAAAATACTACTTTAATATTAAAACTGGATCGGTTAACGGATCTTTGGGACGAAAACCACGAGGGAAATCAGAAAGTGGACCTGCCCAGGCTGCAAGAAATCTAATCGAGCATCCAACAGTCAAATCGCTGATTGCTCAGGCAATTAATCAAAGATCACGGCCACCCTCAGCCTGCACCTCCAATCACAATTAATCAGCCTGATTCTTAAATTTAGCCGGGGGGGACCAATGTAGGATTAATATCCAGCTCAATCCGTATATATGTAGATAAGGATATACAGTTATATAAAACAGTAATATTCGACTGTGTGTTTGCCTTTCTGAGAAGTCTTGGTAAACAGGTAACAGGAATTCCAGGATGAATCTGAATCATTTTTAAAACATCATTTGTCACACTGAATGTCAAGATGAGACAAATTATACATTTTCTTAAGCTTAAGAAACACTTCAGCTTTAATTGATATTGAAAAGAAAATCTCAACTTGATTTTCATGCGTCACTCAGCTGCTTATGATTCAACAGCGAAAACAATGTATGAAATCTCTGCTGCTGAAAACTTTAAACAAATACAAAATAACGACCGTTTTCAGCAGCTAAAGCAGCGTCAGTTAATGTCTGCTACAATACACAAGGACAAAAGTGAAGGCGCCATGTTGCCTGTTTGAAGATCGCGTTACTCAAAAGGGAATATAATATGACGTAAGACGATAATAGCCTGCTCTGTTCTCTCCGAGGGACATATCGCGTTACATGATGCTCGTACCTCCTCGACGCTCAGCCCGAGGAATAAATCCTCCAAAGGCTCGGTGTTGTCTCCCACATCCTCCTCGTGCAGCTCCTTCACTTGGCTCAGCCTCTCTATTTCATCCTCCTCCTAGGATGGAGTAAAAAAAAAAGGTCACATAATTGTTCCATCTACTAAATTTACTCTCAGGGGGCCAATTAATGTAAAATCATATGCCATAAATTCAACCTTTACAGCATAATAATTATTACAATAATAGTAGTTTATTATTTCTTACTGATAATTCTATTGCAGTTTCTGTTATTGTCTTTTGTTACCATGTGAAGTGTCTTTGAGTACCTTTTAAAGCACTATATATAATAAAAGTATCATTATTATCATGACTACAACATCTATATCTTCTACCTATATTTAACCACATAAGTCATTTGAGAACCAATTCTCATTTACAATGGCAACCTGGCCAAGAGGCAACAACCAGATGTAAAATAAATTAAGAATAATACGAGGATCCAGAAATGTCTCACTTTGGTAATAACATTAAGATTTAATATTTTAATATGAATAAAAGGTTCAGTACACATGTATAATTATGTTCTGGAAATTATACAGCTTAGCATAATCACATTGAATAATTTAAGTGATATATGTGTATAAATACCAATTATAGGTCAAAGCATTGCTATATTTGGCTGAATTATCGGCTCTTATTGCCGAGCTGAGCCAAATGATCTGACTCACTACTGACTCCATCCAACCTGGATCCACACTGCCAACTGATGATTAACTTCATCATTTTCTGCTTTGTTAAGTTCTTAAAGTCAGAGGTAATGAAGAAGCTAACCCTCTGCCTCAGCATCTGTTTCTAACCCATCCATCCATCCATCCATTCGTCTCATTTCTGGGTGACCTCTCCCCCCCTCTTCCAATCACACGGCAGCTCAACGCATTAAATGTATTATTGCTAACAAGATTACATGTCTCAGTTGGAAAGATGGAACTAAATTATCCGTCAAACCACTGGCTCAAACTGCTGACTGAACACTGAAACACTCACATATTTCCATGAACTGTAAAAAAAAAAAAAAAAAAAGTCTCCTCCAGAGCAGAAACTGAAGGTCTGTGTGTGCATACCTGATCTTTTTTCTTCATCTCCTCCACCTGGCGGAGCTGTTCTGACGACAGCACGCTCTCTATCCTCTGCATGTCCCTCATGAGGAGCCGCTGGGACTCCAGGAACTGGTCGTTGGCCCGCTGCCACGTGTGTTTCAGCTGGTTGTGCTGCTGTCGCTCCAACTCCAGCTTGTGACAGACTGAGACACCGAACAGCAGCAAGAGAGAGAAGAGAGAGAGGAAAAGGTTGAGGGTGTCGCAAACTCGTAGAAAAGGTTTTTGGGCCTGAAACGGTAACAGAACAGTGGATGTTAATGTGTCTATAGTTTGTAAAGGGGCCAACTTTCACACACATACAGAAAGTCATACTTCACAGTGGCTTATATTTAAAAAAAGGTGCTTTAATAATGTAAATAACCCCATTATCTTACTGATCTTTATCACTAAATGAAGGATCTGGACAGTGCTGTATTTCTCTCTACAGCCTTCCCCGTGAGTACAAGTATATATAATATGATGGTTATATGGTTGCACCTAATTCAGTTCAGAGTTTTTCAAATATGTGTCTTTATTTATAAGATAAATTAATGTAAAGGGGATATTCTGAAGCAGTTCAAGACCTATTTTCAAGTATTTTCACAGGTTAATTCGTACTCGTCAATCTTCAGATCTTCATCCTCCTGAATTTCTCACCGGCAGGTAAATGTTTGACGTTTTTAAGGTTACTAAATTATGGAATAGTTTTTCCCATTTGGCAAAATAGCTGTTCCTCTGTTAAATCTAACAAAAGATGCTTAAAGATGTTTGATATAGTCTTGAATTAAATCTTTTCTTGAATTCTGTACTGAGACAAACTAATCGTCATTGATTAAACACTGATTCAAGTACCTGCTTTTGTATTTTAGAGGAAAGGGAAAAGCCCCTGGCCCTCACCTTTTGTTAAGCCTGATTCTTTCCTGTAACCCTGTAAATAAGTCTGGCCAGAAACTCACTCTTGATAGAGAGAAATCTACAGCTTTGTTGTGAACTTCTGTCTCCAACGCGCAGTAAATAAAACTCATCTGAATCAGCCACAAAATTGGCCCTGAAGGAATTTTTCTTCCACAAAGACCATTTAGTTGCTGATTTATCACTGTAACACACACACACACACAGACACAGACACACACACACACACACACACCTTACATTTTTGCTTGTATTGATGCTGTTATAATCATAATTATTGCTGTTACTATTATTGTTGTTGTACATTTTGTCTCATTGATTGCCATCACTTCTAATCTAGTCATACTATTTTCTGTATTCCTCTTTTTTTTTTTTTTTAAACTGTCAAAGAACTTAACAATAACCACAGATAGAAGCAATGTTAGTGAGACAAGCATGTATCGGAGCAGGTGTAGACAGCAGTGTTAGTTAAAAGGGAAAAGTTTCTGTCCTGAGAAATGAAGCATTAAAAAGGGACTCAGTTACGTCCATAGTAACAAAGACTTCACAAATCATTCTTCTGTTCAGCTCTACTTGTATCCAACCATGTCACTGTTTCTTCTACTTTCATAAACAGTATAACAAAGTACCTTCGTGGAGCTCTTTCCGTAGTTTCTCCGCGTCTTCCTGCAGGACAGATTTCTGAGTGTTCAACACGGCCACGTACATCTCCAGGTCCGTACGACACGACTTCTCCGCCTCGAGAACGTGATTGAGCTCCTTAACCTGCGAAAGAAAGTGAGAAACATTGCAACCTTGTTTTATTTGCTGTCGAGCTTAAAATGTATCTCAGAAAGAAAGGCTGCTCCTCTGTGGCGAGCAGAGGGAGAGACAACTTGGAGATTATTAGTCAGTATTTTGGCCACTAGGGGGCAGCACAACACGCTGTAATAAAAAACACATTCACATAAAATCACCTTATACAGTTGCTGTGGCAAACAGTTGCCTACTTACACACCAAGCAGACATAGAGCAACAATAGAAACTGTTTTCAATCTCCTTTTAGCTCTACTTTGGTCTCCACTAACTCGAGGGAAATATCTGGCTCTTTAGAATCAGAAATACTTTACTGATCTCCGGGAAGGAAATTTGCTTCATCACAGTAGCTCAAGGTGCTCACAAGACATTAAAGAAATAGAACAAATAATAAGAAGAACGTTAAAAATATGCATTATATTGCAATATAACTATATATACTGTATAGAAAATAGAAAAAAGAAAGAAATATCTGGCTCTTTAGTTGCCAAACGCTCCACTTTCTTCACCAGCTAGTTGCTAACGGTGTCTGTCTGCTGTTGATTGCTGTGCAGGTAGCGTACAATGTTTATATTTGAGCCTTTGATCTGGAAAAAAAGGGGGCTTCCTGCAGGAAACAAAGTTGATGAGAGACCTGAGACTGAAACAAAAGTTGTGGGCTGTAAATCGCTGAAATCTATGAGTTCTCAAAAGTATCACAACAAACATGAAATCGTCTCCTCTGTCCATCTGTATTCTCATGTCATAGGAACATAATAGAAGTAATGTGGTTGACTGCAATGTAACCGACAAAGTCAAGCTACAACCACAACCATCCTTATCTTTGAAAACCCCTTTCCAACATTAAAAAGCCACTTTTCACACCTTCAGCTGGTGTTACTGACACTAAAATATTTATACATATATATATGTATATATATATATATATACACATATATATATCATTTAATATATGATATAATATTGTACAGTGCTGTAACCACTTCTGCGTGTGCACTGAAAATGAATCCAGTGTTTGTACTCGACCCTGACTGTCAATGGGAAACAATGTGGATCAGACCGAGCAACACAACACTAACTTGTTGTTCCAGCCAGGATTTGTATGTCAGCTAATGTTAAATTACTTGCCCACGGACATTCAGCTTAGTATCAAATACTCCAGTTAACACATATTCCAACTTTAAATACCTGTTTCACAATAATAAAAGCCAAAGCAGGAAACAAAAGGAAAACCAGGAGGAGTGATAACACCTGGAAGAGATAAGGAGTCGCTCAGACTTTTAAAAAACCCCAAATCCTTTTGCTCTTTGCTCGCTCCACTCCACCTTCATGCTCTGCGTCAGAGCAAGTCGGCATTAAGTCAGACAGAAATCTAACTGGCGTAATTGATGCGGAGGCCAGGCTCATCTCAAACGAGGCACAAAATGCGTCATTAATATAACCGTAGCACAAATCTAAGATCTTTTCCCTTCTGATGTAAAAGCTACTTTAAGTGCTGAACGTCTGAAGGAGTAGAAAGGTTTTCTACTTCCAATATCAGGAAACATTTTACAGTTGACTTAGAAAAAGGGCAGCTGCCATGCCTGGTCAACATCACGCCCAGTTAACATCCTTTTCCTTTTCCCCAGCTGAGTCATTGGTTTAGTGCTGACTAACCTTCGAGGCCTCCAGTTCCTTCACCCGGTCCTCGGCTGTAGTCAGCTTGGCTTTGAGGGCCGCGATCTCCTTCTCCATCGGCATCACCACCGAACGCAGCTTCTCTGCATCCTCCTGGGCCTTTACGAAGGTTTTACACATCCTCATTAAACATGCATACATGTGTACAGCTGCACAAATTACAATCATTTTACACGCTTCATTTACTTTTACATAATATAGGAACTGAGGCTGCAAGAGATAAAACCTAAAGAGTAACTTAACAACTCTTTTTCCTTTCTGTAAAACATAAACTATAACTAAATAGTACGGTGGTGGAGTTCAGTGCTTCATATAAGCGACGCACACATACAGCAGACGAGATAAGAGTAAAATCCAACCGTAAGAAGGAGAAAAATGAAGCCTACTTTTTTCATTTCATCCTCCAGGTTCTCCTCCTCCTGGCCCTCGGAGAGACGGCGTCTCAGCTCACCCAGTTCCCTCTCCACTGCATCCCGGTACTGGTTCCACTGGGCTCGCTCCTGGTCCAGGCGCTGGTGGAACTGGACCTCATACTCACGCACTGTTTCTGTGGGGCGAGAGAAAGAGGAAACCAAGAATATACAACCAATTATTTAGTCTAGCATCAAAAGCTTAGGATATTTTATGTACTTATAATAAAAAGCACTGCTGCTTTGTCTGTTTTTGGTGGTTTACAACTGAATCACTGTGTCTTCTTCCTTCACTCTGCCAATTCTCTGCTCTCTTCGTTCCAAATAAAACATTTGATCTGTTAATTATACATTCAATTGTATTTAAAATACAGAAGAAAACAGATGTATAATATGTGGTTAGTGACCTTTTCTGTACCAGCATTTTGTAAATTTTCATATATTATTTTATTTTGCGTGTCTAGAATAATTTGTTTTTATACTAGTATTGCATCTGGTATCATGACAACCTGAGCAGTAAGGGTTAGTCGTCCCGAGCCGTTTGGTACAGGACGTTTTCAGTCTACCAAAATAACGTATTTATAGTATGTCGACTAAGTTTTACCCGGAAAGTTTTGGTAGTACACCGGTTGTTTCCTTTCAGCTGTAGCGTGTTAGTCAGTTAGCCGGGTTAGTCAGGCTCAGTGGGTTCACTGAAGTCGGGTATTTCTGTGTCATTTACGATAGTATAACTAGCATTGGTCTATTTTTATAAGACAAAAATAGACCAATGCTGTAAAGTCCAGTTTTGAGGTACTTTACTTGCGTATGTCCATTTTAGGCTACTTTATACGTCTACTCCACTACATTTATTTAATAACTTTACTAGTTTCAGTACTTTACAGATTCGTATTATTAATACAAAATATATATCAACTAATAAATAGATGATGAAAAACAATTTTATCAGCAATAAAAAAAACAAAAAATATCAGCTCTGATGATGGACCAGGCTGATAATTGGTCTATAACCCCATTTTTCTAAATAAATGTATAAATGTAAACATCTTTTTGTTTTCCCTACTGTACTGAAAACGTACCGAACCGTGTCCCCATAACGGAGGTTCAAACAGAACCGGGAATTTTGTGTACCGTTACACCCACAGGGCATTTAGTCAAATTTCCACACCATATTTAATATTTAGCACCATGTTCTTCCTTACATGATACCAATACAGTTAATCTGAAATAGTTTTTCACTGCGCTGTTCATGTAACAGCAGCTCAGTCTACCTTTCATGATGGCTTGCAGCGAGGCCACCTCCTCCTGCCACTGGCTGCGGACCTGGTCGATGGCCTCCTGCTTGGTGTTTTCCGACACGGTGGCCACCGCTTTGATGGTCTCGATCTCGGAGCGGGCCTGAGCCAGCTGGTCCTGGATGGAGCTGAGCTCGGCCTGGGCGCCCTCCAGCGCCGCAGTCTGCCTCTTGAGCTCCTCTGGCGGGGGGGTAAAAAAAAAGGATCAAATATGACATAAATGATGGAGGAGGCAAATGTGCAAGAACAGAAAGGAGAAGGGGGAAAGGAAAACGACAACAGACAATGCTTGAGTATTGTGTTACTGTATAGTTGTATGCATTATGTGCATTATGTGCATTATGAGTATTTCAAATAGAGACTTCCTTCCTTCCCAAGACCTTATTGCCTATCCCGTTAATTATTAATCTAGCAAAGGAAGCTACAGTGTGCCAATTCCAATGAGCTCGCTCTAGTTTGGGATTCTCACCTTCCTTGGACAGGTAGAGCTCTTTGAACTTGGCTCGTTTCTGGTTGAACTCGGCCTCCAGCTGCTGCTTGAGTTTGATGAACTCTGCCCTCTCCTGCTCCAGGGCGGCCACTCGCTGCTGGAGCACCTCTGGATGACGCAAAGAAAGAGAAACACAACTTTCATTCATCGTATTGCTTCAGTTGCAATTGTATTATAAGGAAGGACACAAAAAACTCTAATAAAATAACAATAATAATGTCAAACATGCTTCTGAAACACGAGGATATGCTGCAGATGATAGGAAACTAAATATCTTTTGGTATTAGATCATTTTTGGGGGCAAAACAAGACATTTGAAGATGTAAGCTTGGGCATTTTTCACATTTTATAGACTAAACAATCACGGAAGCAATGTCTATTTGTGGCGTGTGTCTAGTGAAAAAGTAATTATGCCTTGCCTTGTCATCTTCCTTCCACGCACTACGCCAACATATTCGCCATTACCAATAGTTTTACTAATACATTTCCTTGTACATAAACGTCCTTCTAAAGAAACAACAGAAATAACTCAAAATAAGTGACTAAAATATTCCTCAAGGAGCAAAATGACAGTTATATATAAAAGAAAAACTAAAGTTAATGGTATTTATTTGCTGCATTTCTTGTATAAAATGTGCTATACAAATAAAGTTATTTACATTATCAGAAAAGATAGTGGTGTAAAGAAAGTGAAGCAATACTTGTCGGCGTCTGTACCAAACACCATTTCTTAAATCTGGAGAACAAGATTTATAGGCCGGGGCATCATAAAGCTAAAATAACCTAAAATATAATAATAACCTTGATCTCCTATCAAACATAAAGCAACATTTACATGTCACAGTACATTAATGTAATTATCAATGCATATCAGGTGACTTATTAGGCTTCCCAAATGTATCTATAACCTCACATAAAGCATTAATTAAACTATTTACTCTACAGCAAACGTTCTTCTAATCCAAACCCTAAACTGATGAACAAACGTCCTCCAAACTGGCTTTAAATCACAATCCCACACCTACTGCGGCTGACATCTTATGTATACATTCATTTCCTCTCTCATTAAAAAACAGCAGAGCGAGGAGAGAGAGAGAGAGAGAGAGAGAGACAACGATATCTTCAAACACAGACAGACAAATGGAAACATTTACTAGCTACAAGCAGCGAGGACGGATCATGTGATAGCTGAACAAACTCTAAATTCCACAACCACATAAGCTCAACATACATTCACACGTGTTCTTCCTGGGGGACTTTCAGCATAAGAGCATGTTCAGACCTTTTGCACTTAATATAACACCAAAAAAGATAAATAATAATAGTCGCCACCCAAACAAACTTTTACTGACTTGTCACGCTTGTCTGCGATCGTGTAAACAAACACGAATCTCTACGTAAACAAAAGCCTGTAATTTAACAACCGGACAATCAACACCAATTCAACTCAGATGCAAATTAAATCAATTAAGCTCAATCTTAACTGTGCTTTCCAGCAGTCACACAAAACGTGGCAGCATCTAGAATCAGTGCGCTGAGTTAACAAATTAAAGTAGTCTGGGAAACAAACATAGAAGTTAAAGAGGGTTTAGAGATAATTAGAGAATATGACGTATAAACAGGGTCAAAGCAGAAACCTGCGCATCAAGAACTGACTTTACTTCTGAGCAGTTGTTGTATAAAATCTGACATTTACTGGATTATCACGTGATAAAGAAGACCAACTTTTTATTTTAGTGACACGATATGTATCACAGAGGTTACTGTTCAATATATTGTGATTTAAAAGAAATCTAATTTACATAAAATATCATTATATTCAAGTATCAATATTTCCTTACAGCCCTCGTTCACACAGAACAGCACAAGCAAATATTTAAAACAATTAACAGAGATATAATTACAGGAAAATAAATAGAAACTGGTACAGTAATCTATAAATCAACAGTCTTATCTTTCAGATAATTCTACATATGAGAGTTTAACTAAATCAGCAGCTCCCTTAAAAGCCTCAGTAGATATTTCTAAAACACAATCCAGATCAATAACCGAAGGCATCCTCATAACCTGGATTACAAAAACCATCACGACACGCTCCATTTTCAAATACTGATCGAAACAGCCACCAAATCTATACATTGTTCATGTTAGTTTTCTATACTGAAGCAAGAGGAGTCGACATAAGGGATTGGAAAACACGTTGGGGCTTTGGTGGATGAGATTATAGCACTCCTGAAAATTGATCGATGTCAGCTATTAAATTAATTCACAATCTATGAATCGCTTTCGAGTCCAAACTCTCTGATTTCAGCTTCTCATATGTGAATATTCTGTTTTCTTTAATCCTACATGGCTAAAAAAAAAAAAAAAGACCATTTCACCGTTTTCTTATCAAATAATCGAGAAAGGGGTCGACAGATTAACGCCGACACTCTCATCGCCTCATTCAAACGATGGAGCGGAAGAACTGTAAAGAGCAGCCAAACAGTAAATCACATTATTTTGTGGCTCTCTCTCTCAAGTTTCCATCCAAGCAGTTCAAACCTCGGGACGAATGTTGGATCTTACTCCAGCCTCGGGGATGCACGTGGAAAGATCTGTAAACTAAAAGCTGGATATCAGTGAGCGAAAACAAACTGCACCAACATATGTTTGCTGACATCTGCAAAATAAGACGGTGTCAACTGGTTATTTTCAAACCTAAATATTGGAGAAAAACACATTTAACAGCAGTTCATCTTTTGTTTCCAGGCTCTTAAAAAAAAGGGAGAACAAACAACAACAAAACATCTGCATCTGTGCAACACCTGCATGTGTCACCTCCACTCACACCTGAAGACTAACCACACTTCTCCTCCAGGAGGCTGGGGACTTTAACATTAAAACAAAACCACCAGAAAACAAAATTAAATGTGCATTCACTTTAATAAACAAGCACAATGTGTGTGTGTGTGTGTGTGTCCCTGCAGGAGCCCCAGCACCGTCCCCGGACCCCTGCTTGAGAAACCTCCAGCAGGATGGTGACTCCTGTGTTGTGGTCCATAGTGACACACACACACACACACACACACACACACACACACACACACACACTGATGGGGATCCATATGAGACTGACAAGGCCCCTGCTAGCAGAGGCTAGTGGCGACCTTTAGATACACTTATAGTTAGCCACAAGCTAACCAACGCTAACAAGGCTAAACAGCAATGAAAAAAACAAAAACAACCAATAGCTCGCTGATTTTAGGATTCCTCTCAACACACAGCTTTATAACGCTTTAATTAAACTCCCTTTCGCAGTCGAGAAACGCGAGTTCGAGTCCAGCGGCCAGTGACACGTCGCCCAGAGGATGCTAACCGGAGGCCGCTGGCTCGCAGCAGCGAAATCACAAAAAAACACGCCACAACTTTACCGTCATGTTGGGACGACAGAGGGGGTCCCGAGGGCTCCGAGGCCATGGTTTGGTGGGTGGGGGGTGGGGGGTTGGTCTGGGAGGGAGGGGGTGAAAAAAAGGGGGGTGGGGGGGGCGAGCTTGAGGCAATTAGCAGGGAAGTGGGAGAAGCGTCCGATGATACCAACAGGCTAACATCACAGCTGGTGTTAGGCTACCGGAGGGGAGGGGAGAGCGCGGCTTCCGGTGGAACTTTCAAAATAAAATCTACATCCGCGCTGGGGGGTTTTATTTTTTTTTTTTTTTTTTTTTCTTAATAAGGGTTTTTGAGGGTTACTTAAAATTACTAATTACCCAGCAAAACATACATATAAAAGAAAAACTAAAGTTAATGGTATTTATTTGCTGCATTTCTTGTATAAAATGTGCTATATGTAATAGTTTTACTAATTCCTTGTACATAAACGTCCTTCTAAAGAAACAACAGAAATAACTCAAAATAAGTGACTAAAATATTCATCAAGGAGCAAAATGACAGTTATATATAAAAGAAAAACTAAAGTTAATGGTATTTATTTGCTGCATTTCTTGTATAAAATGTGCTATATGTAATAGTTTACTAATACATTCCTTGTACATAAACGTCCTTCTAAGAAACAACAGAATAACTCAATAAGTGACTAAATATTCATAGGAGCAAATGACGTTATATATAAAGAAAACTAAGTTAATGGTATTTATTTGTGCATTTCTTGTATAAAATGTGCTATATGTAATGTTTTACTATAAATTTCCTTGTACATAAACGTCCTTCTAAAGAAACAACAGAAATAACTCAAATAAGTGACTAAATATTCCTGGAGCAAAATGACAGTTATATATAAAGAAAACTAAGTTATGGTTTTATTTGCTGCATTTTTGTATAAATGTGCTATATGTATAGTTTTACTAATTCCTTGTACATAACGTCCTTCTAAAGAAACAACGAAATAACTAAATAGTACTAAATATTCCTGGAGCAAATGACGTTATATATAAAGAAAACTAAGTTAATGGTATTTATTTGTGATTTTTGTATAAAATGTGCTATATGTAATAGTTTTACTAATACATTTCCTTGTACATAAACTCTTTTTAAAAAAAAAGAAACTCAATGTACTTATTCTCAAGAGAAATGACAGTTATATATAAAAAAAAACTGTTAATGTTTTATTTGCTGTAAAGCACTTGGAGCTGCATTTCTTGTATAAAATGTGCTATACAGATAAAGTTATTATCATTAAAAGAAAAGATAGTGGTGTAAAGAAAGTGAAGCAATACTTGTCGGCGTCTGTACCAAACACCATTTCTTAAAATATAATAATAACCTTGGTCTCCTATCAAACATAAAGCAACATTTACATGTCACAGTACATTAATGTAATTATCAATGCATATCAGGTGACTTATTAGGCTTCCCAAATGTATCTATAACCTCACATAAAGCATTAATTAAACTATTTACTCTACAGCAAACGTTCTTCTAATCCAAACCCTAAACTGATGAACAAACGTCCTCCAAACTGGCTTTAAATCACAATCCCACACCTACTGCGGCTGACATCTTATGTATACATTCATTTCCTCTCTCACTGAAAACCAGTTAAACCGTTAAAAAATGTAGTCAGTAACCTAATCGGGATATCACAACATTAAAGTGACTTGATTAGTTTCTATTACCGAACACTTAATATGCAAATAATTAAAGAGAAAAGAGTATTTTGTGTAAGACAACACAACAATGTAATCTTTAAAAAGAAAATGGAAATTGAAGTAAATTAAATGATTTTAGTCAATAAAAACATTTTAAAATTGTAATACTGCTAAATAATCCCCATTTTTATTATACTTTTTTTCTGTAACTGTAATGGATTACACTTTATACTCACGTTATATGTAATCCATTACTCCCCAAGCCTAGTCGTAATGTGTACCAATAAAAAAAAAACAAAGAGCATAACAAATAAATGGATGGTAGTTTATATTTATATAACCACGTCTTAAAGAAATGTCACAATTGACCATTTCTATCAATATTTTGAGGGCAACTGTAACACATTTACGGTCTTGGGGGAGTAATGGATTACATGTAAATGAGTTACATAATCAGGATACAAAGAGGCGACTGTAATCCATAATAGTCGAAGGAAAAAAGTGCTTCTTACTCCTTATTGATATATCTCTTGTTTATATTTGCATATTTGGTGTTGACGTAATCCAAAAGTAACGGTAAGTAATCAAGTTACTCTAATATTGTGAAACTTGGATTAGGTTGCTGACTACATTTCCAAGCAGGTAATTAGTAACTGTATGGGATTACATAACCCTGCCCACCCTGGTCACCTGTACCAACACAAAAACAAAGAGCAAAACAAAGAATGGATCAGTGCTGACGTTATATAACCACTTCCTAATAATTACTCACAATTTTGCATTAATATTTCGAGGGCAAGCTGCACATTTCCTGTAACACATTTACTAAATTCAGCTAACTTGGATGAGTCCGGTGTCCCCTTTCAAAATAAAAGCAAGTTACACTGAGTATGAAGTTCCACATTCAGTGGAAATCATCTCTTTTTACACAGAAATAGTTAATAAAACCATTTTCTTTTAAAGGCAGCTGCACTCAAAAAACATCTCTTTATCTTATCCCTAAAGACTATATGGATGATATAAAAGAAAATGCTGCTACTTAAAGAGGAACTGAAAATATAAAGAGACTTGGATATGAATGCAATGTTATACTCTGTTCCAGCTTTGACACAAACTGTCACATGAGAGGAAAAAGAAATTGGTTTTGACATATTTAACATCACAGAGCGTGAGTGAGGAAAACAAAATTCCCCTTCTGAACTCACTTCAAGTCCTCACACAGATGTATACATTTCATACGCTGCAGTCAGTGGAGCATGGCAGACTGCGGGTGGTGGGGGGGAGATAGTTCAGCCTCGACTTTCTGTACTTAACTAAGAAAATGAGAAACTGTCATGCAAATAGAATAATGACTATTCATGTAGTCGTATCTCGCCATCCTCTGTCATCAACCATTTTGTGAGACTCTCAGCGCACTTTGATCCAGTCATCGGCTGTCGTCTGAGGAGGTAAGATACATTATATTAATCCTAAATATCCAAATTATTCATCAGCTTTGAGGCAAAAATCATTGTATTGTTATTTAAAGAAAGAAAACTAGTTTAAAAAGCAAACTTAGGCCGATAAAGGCCGCTTAAAGAATACTAATTTGCCTTTTTCTTGCTGTCTTTTTCTTGAAGGCTGGCAGGAAACTGTCTAAAAGAGAGGATACAGTATGCGGTATAAAGATAATAAGCATTTATATCTGTCCATACAGATAAGGGAACATAAGAATATGTCTTTCTGGTTGGCACTTCACTTGAAAGCCGCCTTCCCCATTTCAAGTTCAAGTACAGCTGAGTGACTAAAAGCTATATCACATTTTTGTGATCGCTGCCGGTGCAGAAGGTACACAGGAAAGAAAAAAGTCCCTCGAGGCTTGTTTTATTCTCAGAAGGCTAAAGTAATTACCAAAATAACCTTAAGACTTAGTCAACACGCAGAAAGGGGAAGTGGTTAATGGTCTTCTTTCCGATCCACAGTTCTGTATACTGAAAAGCAGCTCAGATGTTTTCTTTGTTTTGAAGTGTGAGTGTTTTTGGACAGCGTTAATGTGATTTTTTTTTTGGTTCTATCTTTCCTTCTCTCTTTCTCTTTAATTCTTCTGTGCTGTCGAGCAGGATGTCCGAGAATATCTGGCTCAAATTCTTCTGGGTGTGGGTGGTAGCTGGGATTGTTTTTGCGAGTTTGGTGATCTGCCTCATCTTCCTTCTTATCAACAAGTGCATATCCAGATCAGGTAGGTTGGATCTCTGCTCAACACATCTATCAGGGGCTGCTGGAAGACAGAAATGTTTGCCTCTTGTTTGCGGCTCCTTCACACTCATTCTTTTTCTTTTATAATGACAGAAATGCAGCGAATGATGAAGTTGCGAAACATAATGTAATGAATGTTTAACATAGAGCTTTTGTGAAGCTTTTTACCTGCTTAGCAAATAAAATGTACATAATATTAAAAATAGGCCTTTAATGATTCTTAAAAAATGGAATCGAGATCTCTAAAATCCTGGTCCTGTCCTCGCGGGTAGAGCCAGACTCTGTAAACATTCAGGTCTTAGCTCAATCCTCGGTGGTCTGAGGGAGTATTTATGGGAGCTCTGATTGGCCACCCACATTATCTTTACCTGTTCCACTCCACACTGTCTTTAAGTGGCTGTAGCAGGCTCCGTTTTTAAAGCTAGAGTGTTGGTATCATATGAAACTATGACCTAATCATATCCAATCATCATTCTAGCACGTCAGGAAGGGTGCTAAATTTTGGCACATCTGGCAAAAAGGGATCCCTTGACCTCTGACCTCAAGATATCTGAATGAAAATGGGTTCTATGGGTACCCACAAGTCTCCCCCCTTTGCAGATATCCCCACTTTTATGCCAATCCCAGGCAGTTTCTGTCTTCATCAAACTGAAACCAGAAGACAATGAATGTTGAGGATGATTAACTGTCACCCCTACCACCCAAAAAGAAGGGAAAATGATCTGATGTTATTATAGTTATATAAGTTATATAACGTAAGTAGGGTAGGAATTTGGCGTAAACAGCACTGATAATCTTGAAAATCTATTTTTGAGGATTTATGCCGGAGTTCACAGGATGAATTGTTTACCTGATAAGTCTCTTATACTAACTAATAAAAGGTGATATTTCCACATTAATAGAACCTTTGCTCCTTTTATGTTTCCGGTCCAGTCAAAGAGATTAAGAGGAAGTTAACACAAAGTTGAAGTTATTTTAAAAACCACAAACCCGGATTAGCAGTCAGTAATGTAATGTAACGTCTGAATTAAAGCTGCAGCAGGTCATTTTTCAAAAAATATTTTTTTGTCATATTTACTGAAACTTTCACTATATCCTGACAGTAGAACACAAGATAGATAATCTATGAAAAAAAAAGGTTCCTCTGGTTCGTCCTTGTGCCCCGAACGGCATTTGCAAGAATCCATTGGGCCCCGAATGAAAACAACCAAATCAGAGCAGAGATTTTTTATTTTGTTAGCGCCCATTGATTTCTGGGATTCACAAATGTTTTCTTATTTTCACTCTTATAGAGATATAAAAACTAAACATTTAGTTTTCAAAGTCCACAAAATTGTTCGTCCAACGCAAGAAAACTTAAAAAAAGTCAAAGTTTAACATAACAAAAAGGGCATAAATATCATAAAATCAGATTAGATTATATGTTCAATTTGAGAGCTAAAGAAAATACTATTCAAGCTATAAAAATATCGCCTTTTTTGGTGGCGTCTCTCCAATTTTTGGCCCTTATATAGCAGTTAGGGGTCTAGTGTTACCTGTGCTAATAACAAACAATCAGCCACACACCTCCAATTTAAGATCAAGTGGGATTCAGCATCTGGAGTTGACTTCTCTTATAAAATTAAAAGAAAACACGAGAGAAAGTTAAGAGAAAGTTGCTGCATTAGGCCTAAAGTCTATATATAAATAAAAAACCTGCTAAAGCACAAGATCTTCCTTTATTTATTCCTGTAATTCTGTTAAAATTTAAATTCTAGAAATAAAACCGACCTGACTTCCTGAAAATCCACAGACCTTTTTTTTTCTGTGAACAGTCTCTATTGTGGAACTATGACTTTGATAAACAGTAAACGCCCTTGCTGTTCGTGGCGTAAAGTCACACATTGTGAAGATGTGACTCGACAATATCAAAATGAAAGAGACTTTAACTTGTGACCTGACTTGAACTCGAGTGTGTGTCAACTTTTTATTTATAATTACCTCTCTGATACTTTTGTTTAATGTGATTAGCACATATAAATAGCACTTATATAGCGTCTTTCTAGTCTTCTGATGCCTCAAAGCAAGGTCCCATCAGAACATACACATCTCCATTATATGCTAATATTATAAAAACTACCACTGCTATGATTCTGTTACCTTTTGTACCAGCAGTAGAAACAGTACTGTTAACTAACTAGTGTGTGTGTGTGTGTGTGTGTGTGTGTGTGTGTGTGTGTGTCTGTGTATAAGTTGTTGTGAGTAGTAACCAGTAACAATAAACTACTCTAGCTGCTTAAGTAACATTTTTAAGGTACTTGTACTTGAGTTTTTCTATTTTATTCTACTTCTACTACATCTTGGAGGTATATATTGTTGTTTTTACTCCACTACCTTTATTTGATAACTTTAGTTACTTTGCAGATTTAGATTACTAATATAACATATAAATCAACTAATAAATAATTATCTATTATTATTACAGAAGAAGCTACAAGCAGTGTGTATTATATGTGTACATATATATATATATGTACAATATATATGTGTGTGTTATATATATATATATATATATATATATATATTGTGTGTGTGTGTGTATATATATGTCTATATATATATATATACCTTTATCTAAACTCAAAAATAATTCACAGTGATGTTGAGTAACATTTTAAAACATTTTAAAATGACAAAATATATACAAGATATTAAAAAATATATATAAAATGTTATATAAAAATATAAATAAAGACAAAATTTGTTAACTAAAACGCCCCTAAAAGATACAAGATAAAGGAAAACAAGTAATTAAAATAACTATAAAAACAGTTCATACAAACAAACAATTCAAGTAAAACAAGAGCAAAGAGAGGTTAAATAATTCATGGATTTAAATCACCGAGAGGTTAGTTTGATTTGATATTTCAATGTGAGTGTTGTCATCTATCCAGATACCGAGGTATTTCCTTGTACAGTGGAAATACAGAACTTTTTCTACCAATATCTTTTGCTCTAGAGAACAACATAAACTTCTGTGCATTAAGTAAAAGTTTAGGAGCAGTTTGAAGACCGTTAAAGGAGTACTTCACCAGCTGCAACATTAAAATAATATAGGCCTTCTAATGCATCAGTATCCAGTAATATAATATATATATATTGGGGGCTGAAATGGGCCACATTTACACTGTATTTCTACTTTTACATTAAAAAAATATAAAATATCTGAGTGTGTCTTCCACCACCAGTAACAGCTGCCCTATCATTACTTGCTGGTGGTCGCTCAGTAGTATCTACATCATAATCCACAGTGGCTCGTCAGAGGGAAGTGAAACACGAGTGGCATGGTTGCATAAACCTGTAGCGACGGCGGAGGAAGTATTCAGATTAGTTGCAATATAAAAACACTGCCTTATAAGTGTATGTCATGCATTGAAAATCTCACTTAAATAAGAGTGTGCAGGTATTACTAGCAATAACTGGTCCATGTGAGTCTACATATATATATATATGATTATTATACATTATATAGTATGATCAGCATTGCTGTAAGTAGCATTTTTTGGTTGTAGTTGGTCAAAATGGAGCAAATTTTAACTATTTTTGGACAGTTTCATCTACACCACTGCATCATACTTTAAGACGTTCATACATTTTGTATATAAAATCTTAATCTGTGACGTAAAGCTGTCGAAAAACATATAAAAAGTGCAATATTTTCATCTGAATTTTGTGGAAATACGTCATTCAGTTCATGACCACCACTGATGAATGTATTTATGGGGACTTTTATGAGAAAGTTCAATTTACAGTAAAAAAGAAGTGAGGAGTTTCATTTTCAATACCAGTAACTACCTGATTTTTTGTTGGGTTTTTTTTTGTTTTTAGCTTACTGAAAAACCGATATACTGTACCGTATCACCACAAATCAAACCCAGAACAGGAAGGGAAACCATAACAGACTGTCACTGCGACTGTGAATACATTCATCTGAGGGGGGGGGTTCATTGCAGAAGAAAAACTATTATAATTGTATGAATTGCTATTATTAGGGTGCACCCTCTGGATTTCATTAGCTTAGATGAAAATTTAATGATCCCTGTGGGGAAACCGGGCTGCGGCAGCAAAGAGAGGGGCTCAGTGACGGTTTAGGTTATGGATAAACACAGAGCAAATAAAGGGGACAAAATATAACATAACTCATAATCACAAGTAAAAGCACATGTGGAGATAAAAGATTGTATTTGAATACTGTTTGAATATAAACATTTAGACATAAATAGAACAAATGTGAATGTTTGTTGTTAGGATTTTCTCATGATTATGTCCTCCTTAGACTAATTATATGGCCTTAATAACCTCTGGTCTTTCATAATCCACCAAGATTTGTACATTTTTCCATTTAACGACATGTTCTTTTGTTTTTTTTTTCTCAACAGGCAAACACAGAATCTCACAGCTCAACAGAGGAAATGGCTTCAAAATCGAGTAATATATACAAACATATACTGAATATTTCCCACATTAGATGTTGGATGCATGGAAATGGGTCCATACAGCAGATATCACTTAGATGAGAAGATACCAAACCTATCTAAATTTATTTTAACAACACTGGTGCAGTGAGTGACATCTAGCGGTGTAGTTGCTGATTGCAACGCCTTCACCTCACCCCCCTGTTCCAAGGGTGTAGGAGAAACTGGTTACCTCCTAAAAGTCACACACTGGACCCTTTAAATCAGTTTTACTGTATGTGATTTGCTATATAAAGTGTATTTTTATGTTTTTACAAGTAGCATGAAGTGAACTACGCTCTAAATTTCATTATACAACCCTGCGTTGTAAAATGACAGTTAAATAACCTTGTGTCTGTTAAATATGAAGGAGTTAGCTTAGCTTTGCATGAAGGCAAGAAACAGGGGGAAACAGCTAGTCTGGTTATATCCAAAGAGCCAAAAAGTGTAAAATAAACGCAAATGAATGTGTTATATCTTCTGCTTGTTTAAAACTGAAGCGTAAAAACATGAAGTTGTGGATATATTATTATGTGCCTTACCATTTCTTTTGAGTTTGGTGCCGACTGTTTTTACATTTTATAAAGTATTAGTGAGCTTTTTTCTACCATTGGAAAGACGCAGGTCAGGTTTCACCCTTGTTTTCTGTCTTTATGCTTAGCTAAGCTAACTGGCTGCTTCTTCTTATCTTGGCAAGACAACGAACAAGTGGATTTCCCAAAAATGTGGAGCTCTTAACTTTACAGATTTTCTCGCTTAAAGTTGAACTTTTCTCTTCTCGCCTGCTCAGGAGCAACAAATACCAGGAGAGGGACTTCAAAGCTGATATTCCACCTTTACCTCCTCGGACACAGTTTCTCACACAAGGCAAGGAGACTCACATGACGCTATATTTCCCCTTAAAATCCCCCCTTCCTCTTCTAAACCAACACATCATACACCCACTTTCACCACAATTGAGTACAAAAACCTTTTCAATCAGTTTGACTTAACTCCGAAATCAAAAGGGGCATACAAAATAGAGGATTATATTTGTGGTATCGCAGGAATTCGTCTTGACAAAGCAAACAAATGTGGCCACTGAGGACGGTAAAATTATACAACATGAACAGCGCAGTGAAAGCTCATCCTCTTTGACCCAGAAACTGGACTCATTTCCAAGAAAGAACCACATGTCATCTTTTCCAAGCCGGGGGGGTTTTCTGAACCAAAGTTCATCCAAACGTCATAAAATCAGATTGAGTGAGAAGTATATATGATGTTCACAGTTAGGACAAACAAGAGAAGTGCCAGTATTTTCACAATCCTGACCAAAATAAAATGATTTTGGCGCAGTGTCGTGTATGTAAATCATCTGCGACTGTACCACAGAGGAACACACAGCAGCTCGGCTGTTCTCGGGCCTGTTTGAAATTGAAACACACAGCTTTAGAGAGGTGAGTCTAGACCAGGGGAAATAGCTTGTGTTTTGTTTTTAAGAATAAGTATTAATAGCATGCATATTTTTATTAAAGTTACAATCTATATACACTCTAATGCAATACATTGTTTTAACTCAAAAGAATCAAAAATTTTAAGTAACCCAAACTACATTTTTAAGCTTAAATTAAGCTGCTTTTACTAGTAATTTTAAGTAGCACACACTTAGTTTTGTAAGTTAAAGAAACATTCCTGATTAAGTTCTTATTTACTAGGAATTTTGTTTTCACAGTACTAATAAAAATGTATCCAGTGTCACTTAAAGCTACTTGATCAAGAATGTATTTTTAACTTACAAAATTAAGTTAGTTTTACTTAAAATCTTCAATGTGATCAGTTTCAACAATTCTTTTGAGTTAAATGAACTTACCTGGTTTAAATTCAAATAAATTAAGTTAGTTTTACTTAAAATCTTCAATGTGATCACTTTCAACAATTCTTTTGAGCTAAATTAACTTATCTGGTTTCAGTTCAGTGAATTAATATCGAATTAGTGAATTATATGTCATATTAACTCAACTCATACAGTGAAATAATCAAACTGCCGTCACAATGTCCATTATTGCTGCAATCTATCACCAAACCAACACGTTGATATACATACTCTAACTCTAAAAAGTAAAAGTGAACTGAACATGAAATTTGTTGTTTCAGCGGCTCAAAGCTACGAGAACCTGGCTGAGGTACCCGACTACGAGCAGAGCGTGCCCGATTATGAGCAGGATGTGGGCGACTACGAGCAGTGTACGCCCGACTACGTGGAGAGCACGCCCGACTACGTGGAGAGCACGCACGACTACGAGGAGAGCACGCCCGACTACGTGGAGAGCACGCACGACTACGAGGAGAGCACGCCCGACTACGTGGAGAGCACGCCCGACTACGTGGAGAGCACGCCCGACTACGAGGAGAGCACGCCCGACTACGTGGAGAGCACGCCCGACTACGAGCAGGACTTGCCCGACTATGTAAAGGTAGATGATGAGGAGAAGATTCTCCTGTCTCCTCCACCATACCAGGATCCAGATCCATCAGGGGACAACACTTCCACAGAGGACTATGACGACATAGGTGAAGACCAGGGTGAGGAGGACTACGATGACGTGGGATAAGACCACGACAAAACAAGACACTTTTGACCTTCTTATCTGAGTCCTGCTGAGCAGAGAGATCAGAAAGACTTTAACCCTTCCCACAGATTTCCTTTCGATCGTTGGTATTTTTTAAAATATTATTTGTGAAAAAGAAAATGAAGTTATATGTGCTGTATGTGCAGAGAAAAGCACAGAAATCAGTACTGAAGAGGCAGAAAACTGTAAGTGGTATCCAGACAACTGAGGCAGAAAGGTTTGATTCTACTTCTGTAATCTTTAGCTAATTTATTCTAGCTTTATTTTAATTTTCTTTAACAATTAATTAATAGATACGTGATTAACATGAAGGAAGGACATGTGAGACGTGACAAGGCAACATAGAGAAACAATGACAGACAAAAATAATAATAACAAATAAATAAATATAGTAGAAATAAGGAGAAACAAAACAAGAAGTAACTAACTTCAGGCTAAGTACAGATATGATTACATAATTAACAGGAGGAACCGGAGTCGTAACTGAGATAAGATGAATATAAAATGTTCTTATTGTTTGTTGTTTATTTCAGCTTTAACCAACATTGTTTACAGGCTACTAACTGTCTATTTATAGTTATAGAAGTGGCCATACTGGACAATCAACTAGCAGTAATCTGACGCATGTACATAGTTTAAATATTTGTGGACTATAGACGACATCTATGACTAACTGATCAGACAGATGTTGTCTATCAAAATAAAAGTATACTTTAAATGTATTTTGATTTAAAACAAATTTTTTTCAATCTGCATATTTTTTTAAAGAATTGTTTGATGTTTTTTTTAAAATATGCTTATTTGCTTTCGTGCTGAGAGACAGTGAGAGGATTGTCAGTATGAAGCTGTTGCAGGGGTAAACAGCTAGCCTGGCTTTGTCCAACATGTTTAATGTCGTTTAATCTGTACACGAACAGAAATGTATTTTTTAAAGCTTTGAAATGTGTATTTTGTTATCACTTATAACATATTTTTCTTATTGTCAACAAATCACATGAATCATTGAGGCGCACTGTTGCACTGGGTGACCTTACAATTAACAGGGCTGTGGTTTATTTTGAGCAACCTGCTGTCAGAAATACTCACCAGAGAAACAGATGTGTATTAATCCGCAGCTGAAAATAGTCCCTAACAAATGCACTAACTACTCCTGTTTGAGAAAACCTAAACTGCCCCAGTTTTTTAGGAAATTATTTGGTATTTTGTTTAGAAATGAAATTGAAATGAAAATTTTGTGACACAGTTTTAAAACTTTTACATGTACATTTAGAGGCGTAGACCAGGTAGAGAAGTCAGAAAGTACTCAATGACAGTCATGGTTTTCACATGTTTTGGTGGGATTTGCTGACAATAACAAAAATATAGAATATAGCCTGTTGCTAAAGCCCAGTTCAGACCAAAGATCTGCAAACTGAAACTTGCAGCTACTTACTGTGCAATGCCTTCTGAAACCCCGTCAGCTCACACCAAAGCAATTAGATATAGCAACAACTGTCTGTACTTCCGTCCTAACTGCTGTTTTATCAGGGCTTTTTTTTTTTTTTTTTTTTTTTTTTCTGGCTGGATATAATTTGCAGCATCCTCAAACATAAAATAAAGATAGTGATAGTTGCATTTTATTGATAAAATTATAAAAACTCTCAACAGGGTTGAGAACTTGAAGCCATCCACAGGTGCATGGGTATATTTTAAGGCTTTGTGTCAAAGAAATTGATGAGGTAATCGTCTCTTTTGCCTCCGTCCATAACTCTGCCATTTCAACCACACTGACAGTTTGTAACTGACTTGATTAGCTGACTTTGTTACAAGCTGATTGGCTGTTAAAGCATGTGACGTGCGGAGCGTGACAGCCTAAAACCAGCCACTGGGTTTCATCAGCTAATCACTATAATGTGCTTTTGGCTTTATCTGAGTTTTATTAGTAGAACAGATGCAGGTCAGCATTGTGAATTAGTGATGAATCACCCTCATGCATGAATACATCAATAATAGCCAAACTGTACGTATGACCCATGATGATCAAGATATAGAAAGACAGAAATGCAAGACATCTGCTAGTCGAGAGCATCTCTGAGTCATCAGCTACATCAGTGTTATTCTTTTAAATTTAAAAAACGAAACAAACACCTCCGCAGACCAAACTCCATTTAAAAATCTGCCACTTTAATACTAACATGCATGCTGTCAATCACATCTTACTAAAGTTGAGAGTTTCTCATAATTGCATTAGCTCCCCTGTAGTTTGCACCCTGTTTCTCTGTTTGTATAAATCTGAATTCCTGCCCCTGACAAATATAATTTAAAAAAAGTAACACTGAAACTAATAAAAAACTAAACAAAAACTGAACGTTTTAAAGAATAAAAACTAAAATGAAACAAGCAGACTAACTCAAACTGAACAGAATTGAAAACAAACATTTAAAATAAATAAAAACTAATGCAAAATACAAAACTATAATAACTCTGGTTCAAACTGTTTACTGGGCTTAAGGCTGGTATGTTTCTATATCCTTTAAAGGACCTGTGTGTAGGATAAAGTGGCTTCGAGTAGTGAAGTTGCAACCGATTGAATACCACTCACAAGAGAAACTCCAGTGGCTGCTCTCCTGGACCTGAACCAGTCCAAAAAGTTATTTCAAGGTTCACAGCAGACACACACAGATACTTGTGTAAGGAGACTCAGTAAAAGTGAAAGTACTGATTATTTACTCAAGTAAAAGTAAAAAAAAAAATCCTCTCCTGGTTTCTCTGAAGGCCGTTTCTACCTGATGTTTCTGTGCAAAGCTGAAACCTCAAATCTGGCATCAAGTGTCGTTTTCTTCATGTTATGTCTATCATGCATGATATGCACTCTTGATATTGGGAAGGCATACAATAATAGTATAATAATAATAATACTCAATGATTCTCCTTAAATGCATTAAAAACTAAAGTAACAAGCCTGACTTGAAAATGTAAGAAAGTATGTATAGAGAGTAAAAGTTAAAACACTGCTGCTGTGTAAAAGGTCTATTTCTGTCTTTCCAGCCAGAACATGTCAGAGCTTAAAAGCATGCTTAATACCCTCTTTATTTAACAATGAATAATATATGGGTGTAATGTGCCCCTTATGATTTCTATCTGGCTGGTTCTTCCGCCTCTTGTTCCCATTTAGTTGGTTAAGAGTAATTTCTTAGCAGTTCTCCAGTCCCTTGAAGCCTTTTCAGTTTAGTTATCAGAACTGTTTGTGTATTAAGGATATTAAAGCTGTTAAATTATGCAAACAGGTATTTCTTATCTGGGTTATTGCACAGATAACAATGCCCCATCGCACTTGGACCTGCAATGTAGTGGGCAAAAAATGAACATAATAAGGTTTTAGTGAGACAAAAATGAGGTTGAGATTGGATTGGTTCAGAAAGTGTTCAGTGTCTGTCTGGTAACCGTCACATTTCCTCAGAAAAAGAAAAAAAAGAGCCATGTCTGCTTAAAACCAGAGTTTACGCATTTTTACAACCGTTTGGCAACAACTGCAGCAAGAGTCAGCAAAAGAGCTGGTGTTGGTTCTCCTGTTCATTTCCTGACTGCTCAGAAGTCAAACAGGACGTCAAGGGCGGTTACAGTCAGTCAAGTGCGGCGACTTCTAACAACATTAATTAGTGTGCAAGATTTAGGAGGCTCTGTTGGCAGAAATTGAATATAATATTCATGTTTTTATTAGTGTATAATTAGCTGAAAATAAGAATCTTGGGGGTCTACAAGGCTTTTAAGGGGGTGAGGAGACATTCTTGATTTTAGGAAGGGGGATTTAAAGCTTTAAAAATATACATTTTAAGCCTACATCTCAGAAGAAATGTGCAACTTTAGTCAGTTTATTAAATGATAGAAAAAGGAAAAAAGGTTGGGAAACACTGATTTAAGGTGAATGCTTTTTGTGAGTCTTGTCTGAAGACGACTCTCCTCCACCTTCCTGATACGTGATTATTTTAACTATTAGGTGTGAATGCTGTAATTTACTTTGACCCTTCAATACAGTTTGACCTGCAGGTGGTGCTAAAAGATGTTAAAAAAAAAAAAAGAAAGACTGCTGCTTAAAGCTGGCAGCAGCTGCAGCTGTAACCACCGACTTTGTTTGATATCTTCAGACGTGAATCACAGACGCTTCCTGCAGCAGGTGTAGCAATCACGTGCATTTTTTGTCCAAGAAATGCAAATATTGTACTTTTATTTATCCACTCTTGTTGTCTTGGGGGGCCCCTTGTGGCAGTGGGGCCCTTAGCAGCCTAGTCTAGTTCACGCCTCAAGACCAGTGAGCCATGCAGTTTAGATATTAGACTGCAGAAAGGGCAAAAATCTACACCCTAAGCCAATAGTTTGGTGACCTACATACAAACTAATAATCCCTCACCCTGACCACATAATGATACCCTGCCAGTCATCAGTCACGGTTTCACTTGGTCCTGAGACGTTCAGTGGATTTCAGTGGGTTTTGGACGCTGGGACTTTAGGGTTTGGTGAATTGATCAACACAAAGGGCTCTGGGTCTGTGTACAGTGATATTCATCTTACAGAGCAGTGTTTCTATAATAGGGGTACTTTGGAGTACTGCAGGGGACATTTCTTTAAAACTGTCAGGCATAATTCATTAAATAATTATACTATACTACTACAACTATTTAAAAAAGTAAATGTAAGTTTGATAAACGTCATTTTATATTCTGTATTCCTATTTTCAATGCAATTATTAACTGCTGTAAACTGTCCCTGTACACATTTTAAATGACACATTTATGTGTTTTTCTTAACACTTGACTGGTAAAATATATTTAAAAGGGGGTCCATTAATGAAGAAGGTGGGGATGCTTTCAGTGCCTCTCAACCTCTAAAATTATAGTGAAAAAGATTATTTCCAATGAGGACTTTAATGTTGAAAAACCTAAAACGGAAGTGACCCTAGAGCTGACAAAACGCGACAGTTGTCACTTTTAAAAACATAAACTTAATATTAATAAATATAAAGAGACAATAACATAAGAACATAGTAGCTAAAAAGTAAATACTGATGCATGGAACATTTTATTTTTAAATTATAAAAAAATAAATCAGTTTGCATATGAAATAAATGAGTATTTGAGGGCCAGTTGTACCAAAGTTGTGTAAAAAAAGAGCCTTTATTAACATTATTACATCAACAAATAGTATAAGTATATATACTTTTATATATCCAACAATCCAGTCACATCCTTGGATTGATTTGTATAATTGTGGAGGAAACTAGTTGCTGGAAATATTCCACTAATTTTATTTTAACAAACAAAACTGGATTTTAATCGTCATAAGTCTGATTTTTTGGGGGAGAAAGGACACACAGTTATCAGTTTTATGGGAAAAGTAATATAAATAGGAGTGTAACTAGTTACTTTTGACAAGGAGTAATATGCATACTAATAATATTACTTTTAAAAAGAGAAGTTAAAGAGTCATTTAACTGATTACATCAAAAAACATTTAAGTAAAACTAACTTAATTTATTTTAATCTAAACTCGGGAAGTTAATTTAGCTCAAAATACATTTTTAAGCAAAACCAAGTTAATTAACTTAAGATTAAAAAAAAAGCAGCTTGATAATTTTCTTTTAAACTAAAAAATAATTAATGTAATCACTTTCAACAATTACCATTATTATAATTTTAGTTAAATGAACTTAACTGGTTTTACAGTGTACCCCCCCTCTTAATATTGCGTTGAGGAGGCGTGAGTAACGGCTTTTATTCTGAAGGCTCGGACAGGAAGTGTAACGGCTGACGGTTGGTGGTGTGTGTGTGTGTTTGACGGCTGCGTGCGGTGCTCATCACATCGCATTCCGATGTGAGCGAGATGTAAACCGCTGTGCGGACTTTTATGTTTTAGTACCAACAAAACAACAAAACAACAAAAAAAAAAAAAAAAAAGAAAAAACCGGAAAAACAAAACCCCCTCAAAAAAAAAAAAATTTTTTTAAAAGGAATAAAAAAAAAAAAAATGTCCAACTTGAAGGAGTCCAACACTTGTCCCGACGGTTACCGGGCTTTAAGCACAAGTGAGCTGCGGGAGCTTTTACAAAACGACGACAAAATGGACCAAATCATTCGGCTCAATGAGAAGGTAGGTACCCCCCCTCTTTCCTCCAGAAAACAACCAAAGTGCTGTAAGGAATGTGCGCCGAATTAAAACCCTCTTCTTCTACCTTCATGTCGTCCTTCTTGGTGTGTTTTCCCTGCGTTTAAAATTCGTGTTTTTCGTGTTTTTTTTTTTTATTAATCCAACATTTGATGGGTTCGGTGTGTAACGCACAATCCGCTTTATGGCTCATCGATTGTCTGCGTGGCGAGTGGTCGGATTTCCGATCACACAGCTAAACCCCGGTGTCCCTAATATTTGCGGCAGATTATTGGGCGAAAAAACCCGAAATACGAATGTGTTTGTATTTCTGCGGTCGGTTTAAGTGATAAATGTGTTCTTCACGCGTGCTTATCGTGCGGGAAGCCTCGTATAACCGAGGTGTTGAAGACCCCCACACACGGCGTTATGTGGCTCGGGTCCGCGCGCCGAACTCCCGTTTAAAAACCAGGCAATTTAAGCGTTTCTTCGTCTGATAGAGGGTTTGCACATGAGGGAGAAGCCGCTTTAAGTACAGATTACAATTCTTACAACATGGCGTTCAATTCGGCGGTGTTTATGTGTACATAGCAGGACTTGTTTGAATGGAATTTCAACTTTTAACAACTGGTCGTCCTCGGTCCTCTTCCCTGGAAGCGATACGTTGGCGAGCGGAGTTCATCCTGAGATTAAAGTGTACTTTTGCTGCAGTAAGTTGCGTGTCGCCGCATTTTATGCGCGCCGAATTGAGCAGCTGCATCTGACAAATCAGAAAACACCTGGAGTTGTATTCTTTCATGCGTGCAGCTTTGCGTGCAAACGTGGTGAATCAAAAAAGGCTGTTTTTTGTAAAGGAATTCCACGTGCCATGCTCTCCCATGTCAGGAGAGGCACGTTTCGGGGATACTTGATGACCTTCCTGACGCAAAGCGATACATCACTCTCTCTGACACTCAGATGCAAGACCTCCAGTGGTTCCCAAACTTTTTCATGGGCCCCATTTTGATTAGGTTTGCCTTTTGGGGTTGGGGGGTTGGGGGGGTTGGGGGTGGTTGGTCCTCAAACAGAAAGGACTCTCAGTCAGGATTCAGCTATAGAATTGCATGGCTATGGGTGGAGTGATAACAACAGTGTGTGCAGTGAAACATAACCAGGGGCGGGATAGTCATCCTCATGCATGTTCTCATTGTGAACAACTCGTGTATTGATATTGCTGGACCCCACTCAGACCTTTGCATTGCTGTCTTCTCCCCCCCCCCCCCCCTCTCTTGTCTTCTTTGATTTATTGAGATGTCTCTAAAGCTAAATGTCTTTGTGATTTTTTTTGCTTGGAGACAAAGAAAGACGTTACTTATTTGGTTCTTGGAGGAGGATGTGACATTTGAAACCCGGCTCTGCGAATGAATTGGGATTATGGAGCCAAAGTGGTTGAATCTCACCAAGAGGTCATACAATTCTCCCCCGGGAGCCCAGCAAAGTGGCTCAGATCCACAGTCCAGATAGCTCGGGGCGAGGGGAAACCTTCATCCAGGCTCCCATTTATCTGTCATTAACTCATAATACACAACTTGTGTTTGCAGAGGACGTCTTTTGAATGAGTAGTCTGGCTTCCCGTCGACGTAATCTAAGAATATATACGGTTGGCTGGTTTCACAATCGCATCTGCAAGCAAAACGCTTCATTAATCTCACATTAATGATGTATGTTATGTAAACCACTGAGCTAAATCATTTATAATGATTCATAATCATGAATACGATGGCCTAATTGGAGTGTTTCTTTGTAATCTCATTAATAACAGACCAGCTGCAACGATCTGAAACATCCACTATCATTCAGGGTTCTGTCGTCAGCGGCTGGGAGCTTCTTCCTATACTCTCACTATCTGGTATTGATCCATTAGTGAGTCATGCAGATTACCCTAATGAATATCTTAATTAATCCTGTTCAAGTGTTCATTCCTGCTTCGATACTGCAACGCCAACCTCCGATCTGGCTCCAAAAGACATCACCAGTGCTAGATGGCAGCGGCCGTATCCTGTATACAGCGGGAGGAAGTGGGGGCGTGTCCATCTTGTATATATCGATGGTCGTCGCACACACCCAGCGTTAAACCACGCCTGTAGCTCACACCGTAGCTGCCATTAGTTCCTCATAGGACGCTGATTGGTCTGAACAATTGTGGTTCAGACTCGAGCACATCGCTTGAAGCATGGCGAGATGGATTCTCACGTTCATTTGTGATCTCGCAAAGTCCAGCTGCCCCGCAAGGTTGCTGAGTCTCAACCAACTGAATCCCGGTCAGATTTGTAGTTATTAGGACCCAATATCATCAATACGTTTGAAAATCGGTACACACGTGTCCAGACATTTTGGCAATTTTCACATAACTTGAACTGATCAGATAAACTTTGGTGTGATCTAAAGACGATCAAGACTTAAAGTTGTGAGAAGAGAGAAACAGGGGGCCAGTGAATGTGTACATTTTGAAAAAAAGCATTGTGTTTCATGTCTGCATTTGCCAGTGTGCTATCACAATGCGAGAAGGTATAATAACATGTTATTTCCACTACAGGAGAGACTCAATGTTCTCTGCAATTAGGTGGAAAATATGTGCACATATTGGCATCAACAAGCAGCCAGAATAAGGTGGAAAATATTGGCAGAAATCCAATATTGTGCACCTCGAGATCAGATAGTTTCAGACTGGAAACCAAATTCTCATTCTCGTACTGTTTGACATTTTGGGAAATTCGCGAATGCACGTTGTGGCCGAATGTTAGACAAGAAGATCAATACTACACTGAGAGTGACTCAAAACTGTAAAGCTGCAGGCAGAAAAACCAAAACAAACCAGGAACATTGTGGGCTTATGTGGGTTCCTCACTACAAAACACCTTTCACGTTACACAATCTCATTCGATCCGCCGTGTTTTTCTTATAAGAAATATTGATCGCAGCTGCTTTTAACTCATCCCAAACGGTGCAAAGAGAGCGATCCAGCTGACCTTCCAACGGAGACTCGCAGTACAGAGCCACATCATTTCTCTCCGTTGAATACAGGGCCTTGGCGTTGCATGAAGAATTCTCTTTCATGGAAAAAGATGTGTGCACCCCGTCAATTTCACAGCAGAAACCGAACGCTTAAATTGGTGGCTTGGGACTGCAGGAGCCTAATTAAACTTGAGCCTCGTTTAAGGATAAAAGAGAAAACACCTATTTTACTGCATTTTATGTGGTCAGACGTGTTGAACCGCAGAAAAACAACGGCGTCCTCCCCCGGCGCTGAAACTCCCGACTCTAAGTGCTCCCCAAGTGTCATTTGTCAGAGATGGTAAACACTGTCAGTCCTGCTTTACAGCCCGTGCATCAAAATACACAAAAAACACTCAGTCGCTGCTGTTTGATAAACGGGGCGGACTGGCCAAAGCAGGAAATGGAGCGTCCGTATTGATTCCTGTTTAAGGAAGACGGCTCGGGTGATTGGCCTCGAACTCTGAAGCTAACTGTGTTATCTTTTATTCTCACTGGAGTTTCTGAGCAGCAGATCTGTAGTATCTTTCTTTACACTCAGACAGACCTTCTTTTGACTACGGGGCCACATTCTGCACATTCCTCTGAACTTGGGACTCATACATCCTTCTGATGACCCGTAAAATGTGAGACAGATGCCCTTTCGTACAACGCTGGACTCGATGAAAATAGCCTTCGGGGCTCTAAGTGACTGACTTGTTGAAAGAAAGCAATTGAGGGAGAAAAAGTATCCGGCTGGGCAGAATCACAGGAATGCTTCGACTGATGGTTAAAAGAGGATTCAAGTTTAGTTTTTTTTTTGTGTGTGTGAAGCTCACAAAGTGGCATTGTGTCGGCGTTTGAGTCGCCGACTGCTCCTTTACAGCGCTGCCTTGACAGTATTGTGTGGCAACACTTTTTAAAAGGGAGTGGCATTCATTTTAATAATTCATAGTGTTGTAGCTCTTATGGTGTGTTGACAGTGATTACCCACCCTTCCCCCTATATACACACATACCACCCTTACTACCTATATCTCAATCTCCCAACAGCATGACAGCTACATTTAAACAGCACGTTGAAGCCATACACATCCAGAAGTGTGACTTTTTGACCATAAATTACTTATTTTTTAGGCTCGGGGTTTCAACATTTTATAGTTTAGACGCCTAACGTCAGAAGATATTGTTACTAAGGATGTTCTGTTAAAGGTTTTTTAGCCCCGATCCGATCTGAGTCATTTAATGTTGAATATCTATTGAAACCGAGACACAATCAGATTTTTTTTTACAGTGCACACTTCAAGTACATTAAAGTAATTAAAATCAGTCCAATGTATATATATTGTGAGTAAAAAACAGCTGTGTGACGGCTGAGGTAAAACAAAAGATTGAATCGGATCAATAAAGCTCAATATAGCCAATACTGATTAGCTAAAAACCACTGAGATCGGATCCCTAATTGTTACGGTTTAATAACATTATAATTTTAGGTTCATAGAGCGTCTAAACGAGTATTTCAGTGGTGGAAGAAGTTCTCAGATCCTTTACTCAAGTAAAAGTACTATTACAACTGTAAAACATATTATTTATGGTTATAACGATACACTAAACTCACGATTTGAGGCTCAGGATTTTAGGAGAAATGCGGGCTGCCCCCTTGTGGCAATGCAGAACTAAATCCAGAAATCAATATAGGACTGTACCTTAGTGAGCTAGACAGCTTTTTCCAAGTCACTCATGTGAGGATATTCACGATTATCCCAATAAATCAAATTCATCACGATATACTCATCAGATAATATCACACATTTTTCCATCTTTAATCAATTTATAGATTTTTATTTCTGAGGTTGTGCATAAACTGTGTAAAACAATGCATGTTTCTTTTTTTTTTTTAAAGTAAAGCTCTTTGCACTTTGATACCGCGATTCATTTTTCATCTCACACCACAAGTGATTTATTACTATATATTAGATTGTTAATGCTGGTGAATCGGTGCATTTTACTGCTGTAGCTGCTCAACGTGGAGCTAGTTTTTATCTACTTTATATTCAGTTTAGTCCAGTTGTTCCCAGCTTAGGGTGTTGGACCGCTGGAAAGATAAATCTGAGGGACCTTGAGGTGATTAATAGGGACTATTTGTCTTAATTTTTCTTTAATGTTAGTTTTTGTGGGGGGGGGATATTAAATCATTTTATCTCTTTGGTTTATTTAAATGAAACCATGTGAGAAGTTTGGAGAGGAAACGTCTCTTTGTTGGAACTGCTAATAACTCTGACATCTGAAATGTGACAAGAGGCCCCCAATGAGATACTGTTTTCCTTTTTAGGGGGCCACAATCCAAAAAGACTGGAAACCATATGTTTTTTTTAATGTAAAATCTTAATCTGAGTAGCAACCAGTAACTAAAGATGAATGTTATGGAGTAACAAGTACAATATTTCCCTCTGAAACGTCTTGAAGTAGAAGTATAAAGCAGCAGTTAAACACAGGTCGTATGTAATAGAGTCTGCATGCTTATATTTAACAGTTAATATCACTAATTATTGGTGAGGTAAGTTATTTGGTTAAAAGCTCTGTTTTAAACTCACAAACAGGAATCCCTCACAGGTCGTATTTATTTCCTTCGTATCTTTACAACTCTGCATGTTTGATTGCATAAAACAATCCCATCCAACATTATTGGTGTCAAAGATGTTACAGTAATCAAATCATCGGCCTGTAAAAGGGCCCGTCCGTCACTTCGCAGTGTGGTGATTTATGGGAAAGGTCACAGCCTGCCGGTGCTGCCTCACACATACACACATGCGTTTGCACCTCGGTGGAGGACATCAACATTTTCATTGACAAAATTAACTCTGAGAAGTAGTAGTACTTTTCTCCCTTCAGTTCAATTATGCATACAGAGAGTGTAGATTATTTAAGACCAATAAGACATTAGACTCAAGGAAACACCCTTTTCTAATCCATACCATCAAGCTGAAAGGGTTTTTAATCCAAGAATGCTTTGATTTTGGAAAAAGGGACTATTGCTAAGACATAAATAATTCTGTTTTAAAAAAATAACCCACTTTAAAGCCATAAAATTACATACAGCAGTTGATAGTGTTTGTGTTTGTGTAACAGGCTGCTATAATCCAGTGGGACAGGCGGGCTGGGGGAGGTTTCTGTTTCCTCCCTCAGCTTGTTGTCTGTTTTGGGCTCTGTTGAAGTCTGGTTTGAAACATGGATGGTTGTTGTTTGGGAATCAGGCCTGTGATTGGAAGGACAACAGTCATCCAGGTGGGATGCAGGGCGGAGAATGTGACTGATTGACCCCCTTCCCTCCGTCGGCAGGTGCTGTCGAGGAGCCCCAGAGCAGGACACTTCACCTTCAGGTGATTCAGTGTCCTGCACCGCTTCCATTCGCCAGCAGTAGAAGATAAAGCAGTCTGCCTACAACCGTGATTGTATCAGGCGGCTCCCAGTGGCTTTCGGATACAAACTTTCTCAGCTCAGCAGCGCTTCCCTCCCGGCTCTGGGGTCATTCAGGGTGTACGGATGCATGAAGCTGCAGTGGGTCTGCGTTGTGTTGTATAGGAAAGAAACACCACTGGGGACGTTCTCTCAGCAGTTTTATTGCAAAAGCGCCAACATAACTTTCCTCCAATAGTAGAGAAACAAAGCATTCACAGAGTCTCTCTTGTATTAATGTTCTTTGTGCCTCTGTAGCACCATGAACAGAGTCACAGTATGCACCATACAGTACACTGTAGTGTTGGGACCTACACAGCAGCCTTCCCACACACATGTTCTCCTCTAAACAACAGATTTATGCATAAAAGTAAATTAAACTTTGGCTCCAAACAGGGATGGGAATTGAGCACTGGTTCCAAATTGTCCAATACAATTTGCAATTGTATGCCCTCGAGCTTATCAGTTCATTTAAACGACGCCGGCATGTTTTTCTGACAGTTAAGGATTGCAAAACAATGACGTCAAATGCGTGCCCACGCCACTTGAAGCTTGCAACGAGAAGGAGTCATGGCGGAGAGGAGGAACTGGTCCAAAGCTTGGCTTCATGACGCTGAAAACCTGGGAATCGAGCTTGAAAACATTCAAAAAGTGTTCAAATTAACTTAACGTCACATGTAGGATGATTATTGAGAGCGAGAAAAGCAACAAATTTGTGTGTTTGATGGGCTGGAAAAATGACAAAATCCAATATTGAAATAGTTGCAGATTCATTTTCTGTTGATGGATTAATTGACTAATCAGTGCAGGTCTAACATACAGTAAAACAACTCGAAGTAAACATAACATACATACAGCTCTTGAAGTAAAACATGCTATATTTCCTGTATTCTTAAATACAGAAAGAGTTAATAAATGATAATTAACTTTATTTATACAGAACTTTTCAAAACAAAAGCACCAAAGATACAGAAAGAGTTAAGGTATATGCCCTTCAAAATAAAAGAATTTATAATAACAAACACACTAATACACAGCTGTACCACATGCGTAATAGACCAATCTGACTTCTGTTCAGTTTCAGGACCTTCAAGTGGACCGGGAGATGCTGCTGACCTCCAATCGGAGCGTGGCCGAGGAGAGCCTCGCCCGACGACCTCGCCTTTGTAACGGCAAACTCCAACTGGCGGAGAAATACCGGCAACTGTCCAACCTGGCAACCACATGCTGGGAAAAACAGAGTCAGCTTGGTAAGTTTACCCCAGCAGACCCCCCTCTCTCCCCTCCTCCTTTCTGGTTTCATATGAGATGCCAGTGAACGATCACCGTTGAGACATAAGTCAAGAAGAGCTGGTGGTTGTGATGACAAGGTCACTGGTTCAGATTCCAGGACCGGACGGGTAAATATTGCCCCACTAAGTGAAAGTGAAGCATTGCTACAGCTTGCTAAAAGCCATTTTTTTTCTGATGGGAGGACGGCCTTCTATATGACCATAAACTGCTGACTATTGTTGTAGTCTTTATTTACTTAAACGGCCACAGAACTCTCTCATAAGGTTTTATGTAGAGTACAGTGAAAACAAAACCCCAAAGAAGAAATCGCAGAAGGGAAAAGGTTGCGTCCCAACCTCTTAAGGTTAAAACTAATTACACACGAGATCCCACAGTGGCTCCTCGTTGTCTCACCTTGTAATTGCACCAAGACATTGCAGTCTTTTTACCGCGCCGTGAGACATAGAAAGCAAAATGAAAGCCCCGAAAAACACTTCTGACTCACTGTGACACAGAATGAGGGACGTCTCACATCGCAGTACAGAAAAGCTTTGGAGCGTCAGTGAGACGAGCCTTCAACTGCTCAGCGAAAGCCTCAGCATGACTGGAGTTTGGTCATGGGAACGAAATGGAGCATATCAAATGCCAGCAGGAAGCTTGCAGCAGTTGTCAAGGAATTTGCGGGGTGAAAGGGGCCTTGTCTTTGTTTAGGCAAGTCATGCTTTTGATGGGGCAGCTATAAGGCAACACCGGAGGATGTCTTTTTAAGCCTCAGCCTTAAATTATAAGCCTCATGGGCAAGCTTTAGAAATTCCTCGCAGCGTAAGAGCCAGACGCAGGTGATAAAATGAATCCCGTTTGCATTAATTTCCAGAGGTAATGTCAGCTGCTGCTTATTTATACCTCTGAGTGAACTGTAAGCTTTTATGGCGCAGGCCCAGTGCGTGGTTTACCCTAATGAAAACGCATTGCCAGATTTGTTTCTACAGCCTCAGCTGCCGGCCAGTGATGGAAGTTGGGTGGAATGTTAAACTTCCTGTCAATGTGCACACATTACACAGATGCTGTCCCACCTCCCCAGCGAAGCAGGATGGGTGGGGGTCCGTCCTTCCTCTGCAAAACATCTGATTCTCATTTGCTGCAACAAGGGAGGGAGAGGGGAAAAGAGAAAAAAAAAAGATGAATGAGGAGAGTTTTCTTGAGGCGAGTAATTGTAGCAGAGACAAACTGTGGAGGGGATCACGGCAGACAGCTGTATTGTTTAATACATCCTGCTGTTTGGTGGATGGGGATCTGTGGCCAGAGAAAGCTGGCAGAGTGTGTCGTGGTTGTGGTCCCCAGGTGGAGATGAAACCTTGGCTGTTTCGTGACGTCTTCTCCAGACGGTTTCTCACAAATATTGTTGGCATCTGTTTCCCTCTGCGTCCTCCTTCTGCTGTTAGCCTGGTTGCTAATCATCGGCACTGACTTTTAAACGTTCCAGATGAAACGTAATCTCACTCGCACACACAGCCACACATACTGTAGGTGACCCTGTTCTTTTAAAGCAGCCCTGTGTCTTAGAGTATTACATCTATTTTATACTAATTTGTTTTGCCAGATTTAAAAGTCCCACGTCTGGTTAGGTTTAAGCTTGTGCTGCCGCAGAAGACTCGATGGCTCCGAAGACCGGAGTCGACTCACATTTTGTCATTTGAATCTTTGTACACAGAGCAGTGCAGGAGCAACGGGATGGCAGGCTGTAAGCTTTACAAACTGAGCCTTAAGATGACCACAAACCACAAAACTAAGTGTAATGGAAGTGGAGAAGAGTCATAGTTAGCGGAGGGCAGCGTGACGCCGGTCAGCTCAACCGCTTTTGAACCAGACGGTGGTCCAGCCTCCTTTACCTCCTCTACTGCCTTCCAGCGCTGTCAGCAGCCCGGCAGGAGAGATGCTCCGTGTTGCGCGGAGATTTTTATAACTGAACTATGAACAGGACCTCACATTTTTCAGGGCATTTAAACATGAGACTCGCGTCCTCCAGATTGGAGTTCAGTGGGGCGCCGGAAAAAAAAGGACTGGAAGGGAAAGAAATCTTCGTATTGAACAGCCAAATCCAATTCAATTGATAAAATTCTGAGTCGGGTACAGCTCTAGTTTAGGCAACGAAAGCACTTTGGTGGTTAGAGGAACATCATGGTTTTGATTAAATGTTTAATAAAGTTAGTAAAGTTTAATATTAAATAAAGTAAACAAGTCTTGAATTTTTTAATATAAAACCAAGACCATAATCTTCCCTGTAATCATAAAAAAACTATTAATAATACTTTAGTTGTCATGAGCAGATATTGTGTTGCAAGAGAAGATATTGTAAGGAAAAGAAAGAAATATGTTGTCGGTGAACTCGTGTGTGAACACTTTTGCAGAGAAAGTAAACACCCCCTGAAAATCTATTTTGCCAGTGGTTTAATATCTCACCTCGCCTGTACAAGTGTACTCCAGGACCCCTTCACATCACTGCTGAGTGGTTACGGGTGCACACTGTTTATACTTCTGAGCTCCGTGAAACCTTCCCCTCGCGTTGATATTAAACCGCAGTTCAGGTTTGTAAATTAGTAGTATATAGAGCAGATAAACTGGGTTGTTTTAAAGGAAAATTCACTCTTGAGACACTGATAAAAAGCATTGATTTAGCCTTGAGGCCTATTTTTTTTATTTTAAATGTATAACGGGTCAAATGTTGACAGCATCAGATCACTTTGAGATATTTTCAGCACAGCTTTGGTGCTATTTAAAACATCAACACACTGTGTCAGATATGGTGTCACTAACTGTGAATCAAAGAGCAAGAGCTTCTTTCTAGATTTTGGAGTTAGATTTTTTTCCAATAACACAATAAGAAAACCCATTAAAACAGTAAAAGACAGCAGAAGTTTCATGTGACAGCTGCATCAGTCAGTCTGGTCAGCGTTCCCATAACGAGAGGCTAGTTTACTGTGTTTATGTGCTCCTGTGGCCACTTCTGATTCCTCCGTGGGTGTTGAAAAGCATTCTGGGACACATTAGAGCAATCATTACTGAAGCAGAGGTAGGGCGAGATGAGGCAGGCTGAGGTAAATGGACCGCTTGCTAAACCCCTCCCCTGCGCGGCAACAGTCCTATCATTGCTTAGCAGCCGTAACTAGGCACAGCAGCCCTGTCGAGCTGTGGATCTCCCTGCACGCTGAAGTGAAGTGTACAGGGCTGTAAGAGCGACACTCTGTATATAAAGTGTTTGTTTATTTGTTACCCTTTTCAAAACCAAAAAGGTCAAGCAGAAGTGTTTTTGTCTGCTCCAAGTTGAGCTGCAAATGTTATCATGTCTGTCTAACTATCTTATGACCTACAGTTGTAACTTAGCCCAGTTCTGGATGCTCGTACGTCGGAGCGTAGGCTAACATAAGCAGGTGCAAGGTTTTGATGAAGGTAAACAAATTAATGAGTGCAGAGTTGTGTCATACCCAACAAATCCTGTTTTGTAAGAAAATGTTTGGTTGCTACAGACCCCAAAAAGTGTCACATCATTATTTTTTTTAACGATTTTTTAAACATTTTATTCAGTGAAAATGAAAATTGTGACGCAAAAATGATCATTCCCACTAATCCTAAATCATATTGCAATTGTAATGTCTGTTGAAATAATGTCAATATGACTTTTGATTCCCCTTTTTTAAGCAGTTCAGCTGGAAACAGTTAAAACTCAACATTACCACTGAATAGCTCCTGGAAAGTGTCTTAACACCCCGGATGGATATATTAATCCCCTGCTGTATGTAAGAATCATTAACATTAACCAATCATCAATGCTATCAGACACTGAATTCAATGCTAGGTTACGTTTTCAAGGGATATTCGCACTCTTACCATTATTAAAAAAACATGAAATAACACATGACATTGACAGCTTTGCAGCAACAACACTATTTGTCAGATATTTAAGCACGGCAGCCTCGTGTTTCAGCTCCTGGCATCAGTTTAGTCAAACTATTGGAGGTAGACTGTGACGGATCATTTAATGCCATTGAATGTTTTCAGCTGTTTGACTGCTGCAGTCTACTGACAACGGCTAGACTGCACCTTTTGTCTATTATAATTCTTCTTTCATCCCTTGTAAATTCATGTGCCAATCCATGTTTTACATTTTTAAAAAAAAGCATGAAATTACTTAATTGCGACGAAAAGAAAGGAATATTATATCAAATTGAACTTTTTACCACCCCCCCGACCACATGGTACATTCTCCACACACCCACTAGTTAAGGACAAGCAGAGGTCAACATCCTACTGCAGGACTGTACTTGCTACGTCTTATTTTCATACTTTTTGTATTGTGTATTTGTGATGTTGGGTGTGGTCATCAAAATGGGATTATGGGCTTGTTTGCTGCCACCATACCAGATCTAAGTGAATGTGAACTGTGAGAAGGCTTTTATATCCACTTCCTCTGGGAACCCAACTGACTGTTTGTAGGTGGAGAACAGAGTGCATATGGTGTCTGGTAACCAGGCTTTTTGTGTGGGACTTTCCATATTCAGATTGGAATAAAAGCTTTATGCTCTTTGACTGAAAGTCAACAAGTCACTGGTGGGTTTTAAGGATGTGAAAGATCTGAATGTTCCTTCGTGTTTCTCGGGCGTGTGATACCAACTCTGTGTTGGTAGATTTAGATATTTATGAGGTGTTTTGCTGTCAGGTCACATTCACTTTTTGAATCTGTGAGTGAGCTCAGTGTCTGATACGTATTTCAGGGATTCAGAGTAAGAGAAATGTGGTGTCAGAGGATACACAGAGCAAGAAAAGATGCTGAGGGTGTTTGTAGCAGTGCGGTTGAGGTGTCAGACGATGGGTTTCTGTCTACCATCTCCAAAACCCAGTGGCTAGTTACCTAGAGTTTTTTCTCTAGCCAGCTTACAAACTAACTAATGATTGATATAGATTAACTAGCTAGTTAACTAAC